AGCAAAATATTTTGAGACTGAGCTGTTCCTTTCAAAACAGAAACAAAAACAAAATTCAAGCAAACTGGTATTTTAAAATTAAATCCTCTAGCTTTAGAATCTTATCTCACACCACCTGGTGCTATTTGACCTTCTGCCCAACTTTTTCCTAAATAGCTAAGTCTAAAGATCCCTTATGAGGGAGACATCCAACAGCCTTAAAAAGCTGCTGAGTTACCTTAAAACGCTGGTCCTGTTCCTTAGAGAGCCTGTTCCCCATGATTGAGGGTTTGTAGAAACCTTTAAAGAAATTTTTTAACAAATAAAAGAAACTTTTCTGAAATCCCTCTCTCCGCAAGCGCGGCAATTACAAAACCAGTTTCAGGTTTGTTTTCACTCTGCACCTTTAAATGCCACTTCTTGCTAGTGAGGAGTGCAGTGAGTCGAAATGTACTGTTGGCGGAAGACAGTCAGGGAAGGGTACCGGACATTCCGGGTACTTTAACCCTGCTTATGTTTCTTGGGTCCTCCCCCAAGCATTTAAGACTGTGAGGGGGGACTTGAAGTGCTAGGTGACCAACCTTTATATCACACTTTCCTGGACAAGCCAGAAGTTAGATTAAGTCATTTTGGAGGTCCCTCCCTACAAGGCACCTACACGTCTCGGGAATTAATCCCAGACACCCTCCCAAGGTTCCGACTCACATGGGAATACTGAATTTCTCCAGCCGGGGAGAGGAAGTGCCTTTTGTCTTCAGAGCTTGACAAATGTCAAAAGCTCTCATACAAAACCTGGTACTAACACTAATTTGTTCTGGAAAGTGATCTTCGGAGTCCAGTCAAAACCAAAACACTCATTCACTATTCGCTTTTCCTTATGCAGGCGGATGGAGGGAAAAGGCAAAAGAGGCAAAATCAAAAGGACTGCAAGAGGCTACCTGAAAGAAAGAATCTGCTGAGATGCTTGTAAATAGCCTTGTAACTAGTTGCTGTTTTTAAAGCTGATTAAAGGGAAAGTCTTTGCTCTTTCTTTCAAGCCTAGACCTAGTTGGGGGTTGTTTCACAGGGATGGGCTTGTGAGTGTTTTCACAGTGTGCCTCTTGTTGCATGGATTTGTGCTTATGGCTGGCAGGAAACCTAGTGTTCTGTCCTGGTCCATGTTCCTGCTAATCCTCTCATGGGTGTCTATTGCAGTAAGTGTCCTTGTGGCTCTTAATTGCTCACCCTGTGCTGATGAGATTGTGGCAAATACTTGGGAGAGAGAGCAAGGCTCCTCCTCACTAAAGAAGGTGCAGATGCAAAGCAGCCACAAAAGAGGGCAACGCTGGAAGAAACCCCTTTTTCTCTGAAATCCAACATACCCTGAGACCTTACCGAAAAGCACTCGATGTCGTCTGCCCTTACCTGAGCTGATGCGTGCACTCCAACCAAGTTGGTGTGTTGTCCACAATGACGGCTCGCAGCCCTGGGTCCCTGTTTTCAGTGCCAGATGATTCGGACTCTGGCCAGTGGTGTCCGTGGTGTTGTGATTACAATGAACAAATTCACACGGACTACCCAAGTCCTGTGGAGCAAAAGGGACGGCATGGCCACTGTCTGAGAGAGAGAGAGAGAAAGTGCCCCCGCCCTTGCCTGAACAGGCTTTTATTGTTTTTTAATAGCATACATCAAAGAAGATTTTCATTCATTATGCTCAGGTTTGCTTTAGGTGATTACTTTTTATAGATAACAAAGGAAAGTATGTTACTGATGACTTCTTACAGATTAACAGGGAAAAATGTTGCAAATGCAAGGGGACAATAAGAGTAATTGGTCTGGTTACACTCTGTCCTTGGAAGAATTAGCACAGGCTTTAGGAAGTTCCTCTAAAGATATGCAGCAAGCATTTGCTGCTTCAACTCAGGGTGAGGGAGTTTTAGCAAGAGGAAGACTTGAAGCAGCCTAGGTATAATGCAGGCCTGGTTTCCCACGGGAAAGCTGATCTGTGGGCTTGGCTCCTATGTGCCAACTCGTGCCTGCTGGTTTTCTGATAGGGCTGGGCTACATTTGCCATTGCCAGGCGGACTGGTTCCCAATAGCCTGCAACAAGCAGAATACCTGAGGATGTTGAACATGTACAGGATGCAATCACCAAAGATCGGCATCTGACAGTGTGAGAACTAAAGGTTAATCTAGGGTTCCAAAAACTACTGTATCAGAAAGTTTGATGCAGAATCTTGGCATGAATTGTGGCAAAACTCATTCCGAAGCTTCTGCCACCAGAGCAGAAAGAACATCCGGTTGCAGTTGCTAATGAATTGATTTAAAATCCTACCAATGAACTAGATTTCCTCAAGAAGGTCATAACCAGAGATGAATGGTGGGTCTAGGGCTATGATTCTGAAACAAAGGCCCAGCCATCCCAATGAAAGTTACCTGGTTCTCCATGCCCAAAGAAGGTATGGCAAAGTCACATCAAGATCAAGACCATGTTAATCGTTTTTTGACTGGGAAGGTGTTGTCCACCATGAGTACACTCCTCCAGCTGGAACAATGAGTAAGGAGTACTAACTCAATGTCTTGTCAGTTGAGAGATGCATTACAATGATAACGGCTGCAGCTATGAGCAGCTCCATTGTGGCAACATGCCTATTCATGCATCATGTTTTGTGTAGAGTTTCTTGTTGAAACAACAAATCACCCATGTGACTTAGCTCCTGTATAGCCCAGATTTGGTACCCTGCGACTTCTGGCTTTTCCCAAAACAAAAATCACCTTTGAGAGGGAAGTGATTTCAGGCCATCGATGAGATTCAGGAAAATATGATGGGACAGCTGATGGGATGCCAACAAAGGATTTTGCTGTTTTGAACAGTGGAAGAGATGCTGGGAGAACTGTGAGGTCCCGAGGGGCCTACTTCGAAGGACACTGAGGCATCATTGTATTATGTTCAATGTTGTATCTTCTTCAATAAATGTCTCTACTTTTCATAGTACATGGATGAATACTTTCTGGACAGACCTTGCGCACATCCAACAAACAGTGAATACCTGTAAGTGCCAGCTGCAGACCTGAGTTGGGCACAGAGAGTTGAATAAAGATGTATTTCCTGCTTAAGTAAGGGTACAGTTTTGGGTTGTAGGGCACAGACTTCATCCTTCAGACTAGTTATGTAATGTAGTTAACTAGCTCATGGAGCTATGCTCAAGATTCTGGGCCATCTCAAATGAAGCCAGGTTGGCTGGAAGTTGGATGGGCTGAGAGGGCTTCATAGCATAAGCTGTAGCTTCATAGGGTGGGGTTAAAATATGGACATGAGAAAGATCACAAGGTGTTGTGTCTGATTGGGCTTATTGAGAAGCTCAGGTCAGGAGTTATTTTCTCTGATAATTTTGGTGTTATTTAGTTGAGTAATAAAAGGGGTCCCTTGGAGCAAGAGTGCTTCAGTAAGAATAGAAGTGAGGTGTGAGACTTAAGATCCTTTTTATTACCCTTATCTAGACACATCACTAAAGAGCTAAAATTAGATACTGTTATCATTTAATCTGAATTATATATAGAAATTAGAGTGAAGACCTGCAAATTCATGGAGAGCAGGTTTTTAGAAAGATAATCTATATATGTGCTTTGTATTCAAAGACTGCTGAAATACTCAGTTTTTCAAATGAATGGTTTTCATGTTTTTCACTATCAGCCCACTCTCTCCTACTTCTCGCTCACTATGTAGTAAAAGATCTTGTCTGGCAACCACATTTTCATTTTTATCACAGATAAGACAGAGCTTCTAATCAGCATAACTAGGCTTGCTGTACCGACTTCATTTGAGACAAAGAACACTGGATCTGTTCATAGTTTGTGCCACTTTATAATACTAAAACTGTCTGTAGTGGGATACCTTCGGACTTACAAGATGTTCACAGATATTTAGTGGTTCAAGGGTACAGTACTGGATTGTGGTAAGCCTAGATTTACTTCCATTATCAGCCAGCAGCTCCCTTGACCTCTTAATGCCCCAGTTACTCTACTGTCTAGTTTCTTTTTTTATACTTGAAGTTCTTGGGGGAAAGTGCTATGAATGAAATATGCCCAATGTGCTAAAGAAAAAATAGAAAAACATGAAAACACATGGCTTTTAAAAAATGAAGAACTTCCATATAAATTATGCCAACCTAAAGTGTTACTGCCTGTATGTTTGTAAATGAAAAATAAACAAATGTGAACCTTGCTTGGTTGCTGTCCCATTAATTGAGAGCCCCCCAAAAGTTCAGTAAAAATTACACTTGAGAACCTTAAGTCCTGTTTTGTGAACGTCGCGGGTCTGAGCTGCTAGTTACTATACTCCAGTCTGAACCACCATCCAGACAGTAGTTAACGTTTACAACTGAGCTCCTAAGGACAGCCGAAATGAACCTCATGTATCAGCCATTTACGCTATCAACTCCGGTGCATTTATTTTATTCCATGTAGGAAAGTCGATTTGTGCTGTTCTTCAGTCATCTGGCTTTTCGTAAGTAGAATTGCTATTCTCTGGTGAAATGTTCAGATTTCCCTGAAAAATAGTAAGTAAATAGTTTATTAAGAATGTGTATTTAACGTTTAGCCAAAGGGCTTCTTGCTCTTCTCTGTGGGAAACAGATTCAGCCCTGCAGCATTATTATAGGCCCCAGCTGGAGCCAAAAGTCCTTTGGTCCTGTATTTCCTGGTGACGCCTTTTCTGCCCCCAGGCCCTCCAAAATCCAGGCAGCAGGAGAGCGAGGACAGTCCGGCATCTCACGCCCTCCTCCCCAGCCCCTGACCGCTGCTTCCGGTGACCGTACGTCTCGGCGCTGGCGGCACCAGGCGCTGGTGGAGGTGTGGATGTTCAGGCTGCCGGGCTCCCAGACTTTACGCTCCCGATACCGGCCCCGCTGCAGGCCCACTGATCCCCGACTGTCTCCAGTCCCGTGTGAGGGCGTGGCTTCGTAGGTCTTGGGCAAGGAACGTGGGTGCTGGACCTCAAGCAACGTGGACCGGGGATAGGGCAGCGGGCGGTGTTTGAACTGAGGGGGCGGGGGCGTTCCAGTTCTCGCGAAGTTTAGGCCCAGGCAGGAGGCGGTGGTGGGTCCGCAGCGGTGCGGAATGCGCTCGGAGAAGGAGGGGGCCGGAGGCCCCGGGGTGTCCGTTGCTGTGCGGGGCCAGAGCGGGAGGGAGAGGACGTCGGCTGTGGAAGTTCAATTCCGCCGGGAATCTCCACGGAGAGATGCAGGGGCACCGCCAGCCTTGTCTTCCAGTTGTGGGGGCAGCGCAGGCAAACCTCGCGAGGAGAAGAGGACAGTTCTGAGCAAGGTGGGTGTGAGACCAAAAACGGGGTGGGGCGGGGGGAGGGGGGGTAAGGACGGCTCGATGCCAGCACACTTTGCGGGAAGTGGAAGGTCCAGCCCACTGTGGAGTGGGGCGAAAATTGGTGGTGCTTGCAAACTCCGGAGAATAGTAGAGACCCGAGCGAGGAAGGACGCCGGGTGGGCGGAGCGGTGCAAGCAACATTCGCTAGAGAAGAGTTTTCAGCGAAAAATGGTGGTGCGAGCCAAAAGCCAGAGTAGGGTCCTTGCGGAGGCGGAGTGAGTATTGGTGATGCGAATGTACGTAGTTCAGAGGAAGACGTTTCAGACCGTGGTGGGGGCGGGGCGGGGCGGGGCAAGGGGAGGGGCGGGATGTGCGAGGCCTAGGGGAGGATCAGAGGTGGAGGGGCGAGACTCAGATTGGTGCATTCTCCGGCCGGTGGGCGGGGCTACTAGTGGCGGATCGTATCAGCACCGTGGACAGCATTCACGCAGGCCTGTCCAGAGCACCTAGAGAGCCAGAGCCAGTTTTCGGCGCACTCTGACGTTTTCTTTTCTGATTTGGGGAGAAAGAAAAATCTTTTTAGCCTCCAGAGGTGGACGTTAGGGCAGAGATGCTGGGCTCACCAGCTAGGGGTAGTAGCTGTCCACACTCGAGGACCTGGGCTTGAGGGGGCACGAAAGGCGGCTGGTGCGGCTAGGTGGAGATCCTCTAAGGTCCAGAGAAGCAGGAAGGTGGAGAGCCTGGAAAGCCTGATGGTGTGGTGGGCGAGGGCTCGCAGTGTAGACACCGTGGGCTTGAGGCAACAGGTGTCTACCATAGGCGGAGTTCCTCTTGGCAGTAAGAACAAATGTACCGTTAGTTTGTTACTGCTGGTAAAAACATTCCAAGGTTCATACATTCCTTGCATGGGTCTGAACTTTCTGATGTGGCCTAGCATGCAGAAGAGTGTAGGAGAAGGCATTATTTTTCACTTTGGGTACAGACGTATCAACAGTTGCCTGGTAGTAATGAAATCATTACATAGAAAAGAACTGCCATGTACAGCCTTCTCTGACCTCACAGATCCCTTTTCAGTTATTCGGCCTTCATTACTCTTTTGGCAGCCATGTTCTCATGTATGTTTTCCTGAACCTTTTCTAAAATGTGTGTTTCTGCTGGATTCCTGGTTTAGTTTTTCCTCTGAGCATAAACACAGGCCCCCAAGCATTGAAATAATTAAAGCTTAACACAGTAATAGTGAAACAAAACCCAGCCAGTGTCCTTTCACCAGGTGGTTATCCGGCGCCTTCCTCCCAGCCTCACCAAGGAGCAGCTGGAAGAGCATCTGCACCCGCTACCTGCACATGATTACTTTGAGTTCTTTACCGCGGATCTCAGGTGAGAAGTTGTTTGCCAACATTAAGAATCTGAGAGGCGTTGTCACTTTCTGGCAAATTATTATAGATAATAGAAGACATCTTTATTTCCATCTTCTTTCCCACATGTTCCCAGAAATCAGTGCAGTCCTTTATTTCTGCAAGTTGTTTCTAAGTAGGCCGATCATTAAATTCTTCTAAAATAGATTCTACATATGCCTTTACTGACACCACCGTAGTCTAAAAAAATAAAATAAAAACCCACCAGACCAACTAACAACATATTACTTAATTTTTGTTTTTGGATATCAGTGAGCTTTATTTCATGTAGCTTTTTAACATGAATTGTTTTAAGATATAACAGAGCAAATTGAATAAATAACAGATGTGTAACCTCATGAATTTTCACAACTGAACATGCCCATGTAATTAACAATAGATAAAGAAACAGGATATTCCAGACCCCAGAAGCCTCGTTGTGGTCCCTTCCATAACTAACATTTAGGCCCCACCCCACCCCTCTCAAGTTGTATCTTTTTCAGTTCCCCTTTACAACTTGGTAGATGGTTGACCCTGACAACACTTTTTACTTTCAAATCTCCCTTTTATTAACAAAGACAGCACTGGTCTTCAACTGGTGACAGTTCAGCTGTGATTTAGTGATTTTTCACTATGTTTTTATTATTATTATCCTTTTTATCTTCAGTATCATGAGTTCTCAATATGGTAGCCATAAAAACTTTCCTTTTGAATAAATACATTGAAGTAAAATATGTTAATCCATTCAATAAAAAATACCACTTACAGGTAAATACAGGTATGGTTAAAAAAACATAAAGATGATTTTCCAGTGACTAAAATGTAGGAAAACTGGTCCAGTTGAAGGAGGACTGACAGTGGACCTAGAGTGACTCAGCTGGGAATCCCAGTCCCACCCTTTCAGTAACTGCACCCTCTGCAAATACCTAATTTTTCTGAGCCTCAGTGTTCTCTTATGTGAAATGGGTTTGCAAGTTTGTGCTTGCAAAGGAAATTGGTAGCTGTGAGAGAGCAGAGAAAGGCCTAGTTCTTCTGTAGACCCTGTATAATGTGCTACAGTAAATACTTTTCTAATACCTAAAACTGTTCGCTAAATCAGTACAGAATCTTTTTTTATAATACAGCATTTTCTTTTATGAAGGAATTATAACTAGGTTGTATTGCACCATGATGCATGATGAGGCATGACCTATGAATAACCTTGCCTCTGGTTTACAACCTCTGAGGGCCAGTGGTGTAGGTCTGGCTCCAGGCAATAGAAAAACGAACCTAAAGTATCTCTCCCAAGTCATTAAAAAGATCTAGTTATGTTTTCTTTGTTTGCCTTTTTCTTTTTGCTAAAGAATATCCAGGTTGTTGTCATTTACTGAGAGATGAATCTTTTGCATAGAAGTCTTATCTGAAGTATTTTTTGTATCCAGACAAAAGAAAAAAGGCAAATTAACAAGTAATATATATTTTACTAACCATTCTTCTGTTATTTCTTATTTCAGTCTTTATCCTCATCTCTACTCAAGAGCATACATTAATTTTAGAAATCCTGATGACATTCTTCTGTTTAGAGATCGTTTTGATGGATATATCTTCATTGACAATAAAGGTTGGGTTATTGGCTTTTAAACTTCTTGTTACAATCTTTATGTAAATTAATTAAGTTTTGCTGGAATATTTGAGAGTTTTAATTAAAAAGATCTCATATTACTAATCTACAGTGATACATAAATTTACATCATGTTGCTATGATTGTATGCTTTTGTTAAAAATTAAAATTATACATACATGAAAGAATCCTAGCAATTATGTAATAGTGACAACTTATTTATATATTATCATTGGAGATTGAAGTTTTTCATATAAATGAGTAAGTGAATTTTCTGGATAAGTTAACTTTACTTTAAAAAAAAATTATGTATTTATTTTTAGAGAGGGGAAGGGAAAGAGAAAGAGAGGGAGAGAAACATGAGTGTGTGGTTGCCTCTTACATGCCCCCTATTGGGGACCTGGCCTGCAACTGAGGCATGTGTCCTGACTGGGAATCAAACCGGTGACCTTTGGTTTGCAGGCTGGCACTCAATCCACTGAGCCAACCAGCCAGGGATGAACTTTACTTTTTATGTCTCCAAACTAAATTATTTTACCCATGTTTGATACAGATTTTATCAAATGTGTTATTCACTTATATTATTGTCTTCCTAAACAGTATTCTTCATGACATACCATTTCTGGATAATTTCATGAGAGGAGGGGATTATAATACTAAACATCAGTTTTTGACCATGTTTCATAGCATTCTCTACTGAGACCGTGTAATTTTTCCCTATCTAAATGGTTCCAATTCCCAACTTTTGGCGTCTTGCTTTTGATATTCTTTTTTCTTCTTCCTTCTTTACTGTCAGACCGACAGCCATTGTGTTCGCTGCTATCACCTCTGTACACTTTTAACAGCATATTGTTTCCTGTGCATCTCTCACCAGCCAGCCTTTTTCCCCTCCACACCCCCCCCATACTGACAAGTGTTTTCTTCCCCTGCACTGAGGGGTCACAAACTAGAAAAGATGGTGAAAGGGTGACTAGGCCGGGGCACAAGATGTTTTTTGTGAGTACAAGCAAGTTTAATGCTTGAACTATTTGATACTTGTGTTAAGTGCTCATTTAATCAGTAATTCATCTGGCTTGTTTCTTACCTTTTTAAAAATTGTGGTAAAATAGACATAACATGATTTTACCATCATATTTTTTCAGTGCAGTAGTGTTTAAGTATGATTGCATTGTTGTGCAACCAGTCTCCAGAACTTTTTTCATCTTGCAAATCTGAAATTCTGTACCCACTAAACAACAGCTTTCACCATTTCTCCCTGTCCTTAGCCCTGGGCAACCACCCTTCTAATTTCTGTCTCTATGAATTTACACTAGAAACCTCGTAGAAGTGGAATCACACAGTCTGTGCTTTTCTGACTGGCTTATTACACTTAGCATAATGTTGTCATGGCCCACTAATGTTGTAGCATGTGTCTTCCAGGTAATGAGAGAATGACCATATTGTAGTCACCTGGTCATTCCTGGCAAGTCTAAAAGTGATTACTTGGTGGGTGTAGCACTGCAGAGGTTGAGGGTTCCATTTGTTGATTAAGCACGTAGCAGACTCTCTTAATGATCATTTCTATGTGTATGTTCCCCCCACCCACATAACAACAAAATGAGTTGCTAGTGACTTTCGTTCTGAACACTAGGTCATTCTTTTCCAAAATGAATATAGTAGAATTTTAGAGTGATTTTTGCAATTTGTTTCTGGTTGAAGGCCTAGAATATCCTGCAGTGGTTGAGTTTGCTCCATTCCAGAAGATAGCCAAAAAGAAGCTGAAGAAAAAAGATGCCAAAACTGGAAGCATTGACAATGGTGAGTCCTTTTTCAAAGGCTGGATTCTGAAACTACCAAATTAAATACACTGATCAAAAACAACTTCTTTCCTTTATATGGAGAGGAATATATTTGTTTTCTTTTTAAATTTACAGATCCAGAATATAAGAAGTTTTTAGAAACTTACTTTGTGGAGGAAGAAAAAACTAGTGCCAATCCTGAAACTCTTCTGGGGGACATAGAGGCAAAGACAAGAGAACTTATTGGTCTGTTTTGCTTATTTCTTTACTTTGTTGAGATATGTATTTATAGGGTATGTATTTATTTCTTGTTTTTCATGATTTTCATAAAAAAGTGATACTTGTGACAGGTTTGGCAGAAATGAAGAATATTTCCTAGTTTTGACAAAAGGATAGCAAGATGGCAGCTTGGGAAAAATATTCAGAGTCTGTGGATGGGGGAGCTTCATTTTTCAGTTACACTTGTCTTGTTTTAAAGTTGTGATGAATGAACGGTAGAAAAGATATTTGAGTGCTCTGTCCCTGGCTGTATTAGGGAAAGAGCGTTATATCTCAGGATTGAAGTCAGTATCTTTTCAAAGACCAATCACAGAAACGAGATGCTTGTCTTCAGTATGAGGTCATCTTGCTGCTGTTCAAAAACATGTCAAGCCTTCTGAACAAGCCAAGCAAATGAGTGGATAAACCCAGCCGGAGCCCTGAATCTGGTTTGAACCAGGCCTTCTGCCCTACGTCTACAAGTGGTGTATTTTAGGACTGGTTATCTCCAAGTAGCAGTCCCCAGAAACTCAAGAGTTGACACAAAGAGTTTACCTTTTTCTATGATCTGGCACCCAGCTGTGGCTCCCCGAGTACCTATACTGTTCCCTGTTCTGTCCTTCTCTCCTCAGTTCCAGGCTGCCCCTCAAGGCCCAGTTCTCCATCCTCCCCCTCCCTGTGTCTGCCTCCTGCTCCCTCACTAAGAATTACACAATAGGATATTACGCTGTTTATAATTTATCTTGCTTTTTCTAAAATATGTTTTACTGATTATGCTGTTACAGATATCTCAGTTTTTCCCCCTTTGCCCCGCTCGGCCCAGTACCCCTTTCCCTCCAGCAATCCCTCTCTTAAGTTCATGTCCATAGATCGTGTATATAAGTTCTTTGACTTCTCCATTTTCTATTGTATTCTTTTTTTTTAAACATTTTATTTATTTACTTTTTTTAGACAGAAGGGAAGGGAGGGAGAAAGAAAGAGGGAAAGAAACATCAGTGTGTGGTTGCCTCTTGCACAACCCCTAATGGGGATCTGGCCTGCAACCCAGGTATGTGCCCTGACTGGGAATTGAACCAGTGACCCTTTCGTTCACAGGCTGGCGCCCAATCCACTGAGCCACACCAGCCAGGGCTCCTATACTATTCTTAACATCCCTGTCTATTTTGTACCTACCAATTATGCTTCTTAATCCCTGCACCTTTTCCCATATTCTCCCCCTTCCCCTTCCCAGCTCATAACCCTCCATGAGATCTCCATATCTATGATTCTGTTCCTGTTCTGCTTGTTTGCTTAGTTTGTTTTTTAGATTCTCTTATTAATAGTTGTGAATTTGTTGCCATTTTAATGTTCATAGTTTTTATCTTTTTCTCAAATAAGTCCCTTTAACATTTCATGTAATAAAGGCTTGGTGATGATGAACTCCTTTAGCTTTACTTTATCTTTCCCTTGCATTCTAAATGATAGCTTTGCTGGATAGAGTAATCTAGGTTGTAGGTCCTTGTTTTTCATCACTTTGAATACTTCTTGCCAGTCCCTTCTAGCCTGCAAAGTTTCCTTTTAGAAATCAGCTGATAGTCTATGGGAACTCCTTTGAAGGTAACTCTCTGCTTTTCTCTTGCTGCTTTTAAGATTCACTCTTTATCTTTAACCTTTGGCATTTTAATTATGATGTGTCTTGGTGTCGTCCTCTTTGGGTCGAGCCTTGTTTGGGACTCTTAGTGTTTTCTAGACTTGTATGTCTATTTCCTTCACCAGATTGAGGAATTTTTCCATTATTATTTTTTCCAATAAGTTTTCAATTTAATTGCTCTTCCTCTTCTCCTTCTGGCACCTCCATGATTTGTATATTGGTATGTTTGGCCATGTCCCAGAGGGTCCTTACACTATTCTAATTTTTTTTAATTCTTTTTTCTTCTTGATGTTCTGCTTGAATGTTTATTTCTTTCTTATATTCCAAATAGTTGATGATTTGAATCCTGGCTTCCTCCCCTCCACTAATGGTTCCCTGTAGATTTTTATTTCACTTAGTATAATCATTTCTTCCTTTATGCTTTTGCCATACTCAGTGAGTTCTTTGAACATCCTGATCAGCAATGTTTTGAACTCTGCATCTTATTTGGTTATCTCTCTTTCATTTAATTCTTTTTCTGGAGTTTTGTTCTGTTCTTTCGTTTGGCCATATTTCTTTATCTCCTCAATTTGGCAGCCTTCCTATGCTTGTTTCTGTGTATTAGTAAAGCTGCTTTGACTCCATGTCTTAGTAGCGTGGCCTGTTGTAGGAAAGATACCTGTAAATTGTGTGGGGCGGAGCCTTAGAGGCAACCGGCTTCACCACTTTGTGGCTCTGTGTGGGGAGTGGGCTTGGAGTGGGGACAGTGCCTCTGCCTGGCTTCTGGAGGTTTGCCTGTCACTTGCCCCATATCTAGTCACTTCACCCACTTCCTGTATGCAATTGGCACCCTTCTAGCAGTTGCCATGGTGCTGAATCACAGAGTGGATGGGTTTGTATATGTTCTGAGCCATGTGGGCCCTTTAAACGGAGTCTCCTTAAGATCTGGCTGTTTCTTCTGCTACCCCAACCCCCACTGCTTCTTACAACCAGAAGTTATAGGGATTTATCTTCCTGGCACTGGAACTCCAGGAGGTGCCATGTGGTCTGGGGCTGAGATCACTTGCTCCCAAGGTATTCCTTCCAATTTAAAAAAAAAAGATTTTGTTTATTTATTTTTAGAGAGAGGGGAAGGGAGGGAAAAAGAGAGGGAGAGAAACCTCATGTGTGAGAGCTACATTGATTGGCTGCCTCTCACATGCCTCCTGCTGGGGACCTGGGCAGCAACCCAGGCATGTTCCCCAAAGGGAATCGAACCAGCAACCTTTCCCTTTGCAGGCCAGCACTCATTCCACTGAGCCACACCAACCAGGGCTTCCTCCCAATTTTTATCCACCATATGTGAATGTGGGACAGTCCATTCCCCTGCCCTGGCCACCTCTCTGCCAGTCTCCATGATTCCACCCCCTCCTACCAGTCTGGATGAATGTGACTTCTTCAAGTCCTTGGTTGTTGGACTTCTATAGAGCTCAATTTTCTGACGGTTCTGGGTGTTACTTGTTTTGAGGCCTATTTGTAATTGTTTCTGTGGTTGCGCAAGGAGGTGAAGCGTTTCTACCTACACCTCCATCTTGACTGGAAGTCTATAATTTATCTTATTTTCCCGTCTGTCTGCATAAACTCTTTTCTCATTGGCCTTTCTACTTCCCCTCCCAGTGGAACTATATTTCTGTCTTTGTAGACCAGCACATAGTAAGTACATTGCTTGGACAAGTTTAGGTATTCAATAAATGTTTGTTAAGTAAATTAATAAGAAAGGTTAACATTATTAAAATATTCTTCATTAGTCTAAAAAAAGTTTTATGTTTTATAGTGGCTGATTTAATATGTAGCTCAAAGGATTTTTAATTACTAAAGTAAATATTTACTAAGATGTACTCAGGATGCATTTGCGCATTTTTATTTCAGTACCCAGAACATTCTGACTGGGTACTGACTCTTGAGCCTGGGCATGGGGGCTAAACATGAACAGGACACACAAGGCCTCTGCCCTCATGTCGCTGCCCTTCTCGTGGACATGGCTGTGGTTTACACAGGCAGAAATCATCAGTCTTAAAGCCAGGGCATTTTCTTATGTGATACATGCACAGTGGAGTGAAATGGGATAATGAGATACAGAGAAAGGCCCCTCTGAGCCCGTATTTGAGCTGAGGCCAGCTGTGCTAAGGGGTGCCAGAAGAGGGAACTCCAAGTGCAAGGTCTGGAAGTTGGCACTTTGGGCTGTAGGAGCAGGATGGGTGCCTGTGTGATTGGCACATGGTGGACAAGGAGCAGAGTGGCTAGAGAGGCAGGTGGGCCCATCATGCCAGGCTTGGGGATAAGAGCTTCGGATTTTATTTATGGAACACCCAAATCCATTGAGGGAGTGACGTGGTCTGATTTATTTTCCCCATCACTCTGCTTGCTCTATACATGATGGATTATGGATGCCAGCAGGAGAGGCTGGGCCTCTGTTGGGAGGCTGTGCCTGTAGTAGTCCAGGGAAGGCTGCGCCTGTAGTAGTCCAGGGAAGGCTGCTTGAACGAGGCCTGTATCCTGGAGGTAGAACTAACAGGACTGACTGATGGGTTGGATGTGGGAGGTAAGGGCCTCCAGGAGTTTGACTTGAACAGATCAGTGGATTGTGGTGCCGTTGCTGAGATGAGGAAGACGGTGGGGAGAAATAGTATTGGGGCAAGTCCAGATCTTGCTGTAGAATATGTTTAAAAGAAGGCAGCAAGTTTATAGAACTTGCATTCCCAGGCACACACCTTCCAGGAGTTTCCAGTGGCTTTTTTGCAGAGGATGGATAAGTCCCTCCCTCACCCATGCTCGAGGCCTGGTGCATAGTAGATGCATTATAACTATTTACCGAATGAATGAATGTGACTGAGAATCCACTGGTCCATGACGAGGCTACCGAGCTTTGTTTCTGTGATTCGTTTTTCTGTCCACTTAGATTTGCATTCTTATCAGGTAGATCATGGCAAATTGCTTCTTTCTTTTCTTAGATTCTGACCTTCAGTGGATTCTTATGATCAAGGGGTAAGCAGTGAGGGTTAAATGGAAATAGTAATTCGCTCTGAAGTTGAAGCTTAGTGCAGTGGCATATCAGGGTCTTGAGAGCAAACAGTCCTAGGACCTATCAACCCCGTGGCCTCATCCTTAGCCTCAGGTTCTCTATTTCTGCAAAGGTTGTGGTGACAGTGTCTACTGTGCAGTGACTCTCTGTAGGTGGTAACAGTTACACTGTAGGTTAAATTAGTACATTACATGATCATGTGTCCTCTATTTAATAAATGATACACTTTTGTGGTTTGTAAAGTACTTTCTTATACAGGGTCTCATTCTCCCTTCACATTGATTCTTTGAGGGTAACAAGGTAGGTGTTTTGTTGGAGAGGAGGGAAGGCAGGTTCAGCTCTTCCACCCAGCTAGCTAGGTCCCAGCCCTATCCTTGGCAGAACTTCCATGGTGCAGAGCAGAGTCCTCCTGAACTTGCTGTTATGAAGTGCATCAGCTGTGCTAATTAATCTTAGGCCAGAGTTCATGGTTAACGCAGGAGCCACACAAGAAGGAAGGAGGCTCTTCTTGCCCCCTCCCCACCTGTGATGAAACGTGAGCATCTGCACTGTGTCAGCTCTTCACCAGGGCCGAGAACCTGGGGCAGATCTTCCTGGCAGATGTCATTTAATACATGACATTGGGATGTTTAAGAGTCCTCAATTCCAAGTTAGGAACCCTGGCCAGGGGCTCTCTTATTATTTCTGATTCATTCCTGATCCTCAGAATTCTGGAAATGTTGTATCAGTCTTCAAGTACATCCAAAGATTCCTCCTTCTTTCATTTAATCTGAGGTCTTGAATCTTCCACCTGCTCACCTAAGTCCTCAGCCACTGCCACAGGGAACACATACCTCTCAGAGCCAGTCCCTCGGCAATGGGGGATTGGGGGTGCAGTACCTAGAGGCCTGCTACATGTTTGGGCACCCAACATCCCGGTCAGGTCAGACAGGTCAAGGACATGAAAGCTGACGATCCACTTTGAGTTGGTAGAGACATTTATTCCTGAGTAGTTGGTAATTTGTAGATGAGCAGTGCCATGTGGAGTTATTTTCTAAACTTTTACCTCTGGTTACTCTGATTTATGGAGCATATATTGTAAGAGATTATAAGAGCTCTGGCTAGTGTGGCTCAGTGGACTGACACTGAAAGTTCGCTGGTTCGATTCCCTGTCAGGTCACATGCCTGTGTTGCAGGCCGGGTCCCCAGTTGGGGGTGTGCAAGAGGCAACCACACATTGATGTTTCACACATTGCTGTTTCTCTCCTCCCTTCCCCTCTCTAAAAAAACGTAATTAAATCAAATCTATAAAATACACCTATCCTTAAAAAAAGGAAAATATAATAACTCTCTTTGCTTAAAACTGTTATATAGAGAGCCAAAAAGAAGAAGTTGTCAGAATATGTGCTGAAGCAAAGTGAATATATAAGTGTTATGTAATGACTTAAAACATCTGCAAAGTTATGCATGTATAACATTTGGGAAGTTTTATGCATTGTACTCATTTTGCTGCTTTGCTTTTATACCATCTTTTTGAGTAATTTATGACACCTTTAAGAACCAGGAATTAAATGTCTGTTGTGTGTAAAATTGTCAGTATTTCCAAATTACTTGACTTTAAAGCGATGGAATCGAATCCCTCAAAATACAGTGTATGCTTATGTAAATGTCAAAATGATAGTATTCTTACATTAATTATTTTAAAGATTACATTAAAAAAAGGAAAGAAGTCTTATTTTTGAAATACAACTTTTTATTTTAGCCAGAAGAACCACACCTCTTTTGGAATACATTAAAAATAGGAAATTAGAAAAGCAGGTATGTCTGACCTTTTACTTGATGAATATCTGGCCCATTTCTGCCATATCCACGCTGACAGTTCATACACATACTTTTCCACCTCTTCAGAGAATTCGAGAAGAGAAGCGGGAAGAGCGAAGGCGAAGGGAGTTGGAGAAGAAACGCATACGGGAAGAAGAGAAAAGAAAGAGAAGAGAAGAAGAAAAATGTAAGAGAAAAGAAACAGAAAAACAAAAGAAAACTGCTGAGAAAGAAGTAAGGATTAAGGTAATTTGGAGGAGACCTTTCATTTCTTTTTTCCAAATATAGTTCTGCTATCCTACTTATGCCTTTTAAGTATTTTAGCTTTCTAGAAGAAAAAGAACATTTTCAATTTGTCTAGTCTTTTTCTTTTAACTTCCGTTCCCTTTCTCCGTTCCGTAGTACTAGTTCTCAGACTTCCCGAGCCTCTGGGCTATCTGTGTTTGGGAGGCTGGGGGGAGGTCTGTGTGGAGGAGGACCGGCCTCCTGGGGCTGCGGGCGCCCTTCCCCCAGAGGAGCCCCACATTCCAGTATGGGTACTACAGATTGGGCTCCTGCTTACATTTTCCTCTAACAAAAAGGTTTCCTGACTGAAAAGTACACATTTGAAAACCACTGGCTCAGTGTATAGTGGCCTTGCTGATGAAGGCTGATTCGTAGAACTGGGTTTCTCGTAGAATGGTTCTTACATCTCTCGCCCGATTTCTCCTTTGCCTGATGCACTAATTGAGGAAGGTGGTTTCATGTATAGAGGAACTTTTCTCCGTGTAAAATATATTGTCCCAAATTGTGGTCAGTCCTTACATGCTTCTTCCCTTACTCCACGAAGAATATGAGGTGCCTTACTGGGATTCATTAAAATTGTGTCATATAAAGAAAAAATCAAAGGTCGGTACTTGGGGGAAGAGAGAGAATAGAAAGGGAAAGGATGAGGAAGAGATCACAGTTGCCATCATTGCACCACAGATTAGTTTCTTTTTAAAAAAATATTTCATTTATTTATTTTTAGAGAGGGGAAGGGAGGGAGGCAGAGGGAGAGAAGCTTCAATGCATTGTTGCCTCTTGTATGCCCCCCACCAGGCACCCAGCCTGTGACCCTGCCATGTGTTCCAACTAGGAATCGAACTGATGATCCTTTGGTTCACAGGCCGGCACTCAATCCACTGAGACACATCAGCCAGGGCAAGATTAGTTTCTGATATTCTCAGCAGTCAGAAACAGCAAAGTTAATCAGAAGCATAGTTTTCATTTTTCGTGGAGAGAAAACACGCCAGGTTTTCCAGGGAAGCAATGCTTTGTCTAGGCCGTCGCTTCTAAAAGTTTCTCCTAGATTGGGTGTACTAACAATGGAGGGAACGATTTCTTAACAACATTCCTACAAAAACACATCAGCACTTGTATCAGTCAGGACTGCTTAGGTTATGCTTCAGTAACAGTCTCAAATATCTCAGTGGTTTTGTAAAACTCAAGGTCTGTTCTAGTTTGTGTCACTTGTCCATTGTGCATTACCCATTGTAGCCATCTAGTGACCCAGGCTGACGGAGGCTCCATCTTAGCATTTATCTCTAAAATTATCATGACAAGGGGGGAATGTGTAATACAGCAGATTGTATACTAGTCCTTAAATCTTCCACGTGGAAGTGACTTGTCCCTCTGCCCACATTTCATTGGCCAAAGCACTTGACCCCACCTAATCTCAAACAACAGATAAAACGAAACCTTGATATTACAGGAAATGTCTTTGTCATTGTAGAAATTCAGCTCTGTCATGGCCAGAGACAAAGTAGGTATACATTTAAAGCAAATGGTATGGTCACAGGTGTGTGAACATTGCCCAACCTTTTCATTTTACTTTCTAGACAAAGAGTAGTAGCTCACTCAGTGCCTAATAGTTTTACATTCTCGAAAGTACTTTTGTCAACAGCTTTGAGGGTTTTTCAGGAAGAATCACTGAAACTTATAACTACAATTTCAACTATGATTTTAAATAAGACTTCGAGTGTTTGGAGTATAGCATTTTTTCAGTTTGGAGAATGAAATTAAAATCCAAAATAAGTGAAAGAAATAAAAATAAGTTTAAGTCAGTAAAGTAAATGTAGGGTCCTCCATATAGGAAAAAAAGAAATCAGCACCTAAGCACAGCAAGAGAAAGAGTTAGTCTTGTCCAAATCTGATAGAACAAAACCTCAGTGGCAGGTTAGACCCAGTGACGTGAGGAGTCCACAGCCTGTGTCCCTGGGAGTGTCTGGTGTTGTGACAGAAGAGTATCTGACCCAAGGTTACAAGTTTAGCCTTTAATAAGCATCTGCTCAGTTTGGGGACCCATGACTTATGAATGGTTTGGAGAATTAAAAAAAACAAACCCTGAAAAACAGGGTTTTTCAGGTCAGTGAAGAAATGCCAAATGAATTTATATTAATAGCCTAAAAATAAAAAGGCAGAGAGACATGCTTACGACTACTTTTTGTAATGAAGACAAATGTGACACAGGTTGAGAGCAGCCCAGCAGCTTTTTGTTTCCCTGTGAGGACCAAAACTAAGCAGTCAGCTTAAGTTGAAGGAAGAGCTTAGGCTACCAAAGTTACAAGTAAAGTTCCTGAATATATAAATTATATAGAGGGTAGATTACATGATCTAAAAACGCATTGTGTGATGATCTTTTTCAGGAAGCTCTTTAAAAATAGGAGCACAGCTGAGGGCTGGACGGAACCACGCCAGGATGGGCAGCCGCTTCCCCCACCTGTGTCACGTGCCCTGGCTCGCCCCACACTCTCTCCCTTGCTTCCTTCTTTCCTTTCTTTCTTCCACCCTTTGCCAGGCTAATTTCACCAGAGGCCTCTGCTTGCTTTTCTTCACAGTGGGCCCTTCCCCAAGATGTATGCCTTTTCATAAGTGACTCCTTCTCATCATCTGGTCTCTGTTCATGTCTTATTTTCACAGAGAGGCCTTCCCTAACCCCTTTGAGAAACCATTCCTCCTCTTCCTCTGACCCCACATCTTTCTGTCCTTTTATTTGGTTTGTAGCATTTCACACCACCTGAGGTTACCTTGTTCGCGGCATTCTGTTTTTGTCACTGCATACACCAGTCTTCTACCTCATAGCCACCACTGCCACAGCTAGAATGGCAAGTGTGAGTTCCTTAATGGTGGGTACTTGTCTCTTATTCACAGCTACATTCCTAGCACCTCGCATGGAATCTTTTCCCCTGGTTCCTGGCACACAGTCTCACAGCCCTTGTAATCCCCATGGGGGGTAAGATGTCTTCTGTGCAATAATGCGGTGATGGAGGCTGATACCCTGGAGAGCTTTGGGGTGGGAGCTGGTCACCAGAAACACAAGGCATCGTGAGAGGGTTGGAACTTTCAGCTCCACCCCCTGACCTCCAGAGAGGGGAGTGGTGCTGGAGATGAGGTCAGTCACCAGTGGCCAGTGGTGTAATCAATCCTGTGTAATGGAGCCGCTACAGAAGTCCCCATACTTTGGGGTTTGGAGAGCATCCACGCTGGTGAACAGATGTAGGAGACAGGAAAGTGGTGTCCCTGCAGAGGGTGTGGAAGCTCTAAACCATTCCCTGTTCCTTGCCCTGTGCATTTCTCCCATTTGGCTGTGCTGGAGTTGTGTCCGTTACAATAAACCAATAGTAGTGAGTGAAATGCGCTTCTAAGTTCCGTGAGTCGGTCTCATTCAGGAAGCCCGTGAATTTGTAGCCATTCAGTCAGAAGTGCCAGTGACAACCTTGGATTTTTGACTGCATCTGAAGTGGGGACAGTCTTGTGGAATCTGCCATTAGTTCTGGGTAGATGGTGTCAGAACTGAATTGAATCATAGCATAGTAGCCTGTGTTGGAGAGTTGGGGAAGTGGTGTTTGAAAAGCCAGCACGCACTTGGTTTCAGAAGTATTGCACGTAAAAACAGTTCATAGGAGCACAAATTATTGGATGGATGGATGGATGGATGGATGGATGGATGGATGGAGACACATACTACTGCACTTCCAGACCTCCTTCAGTTGCATTTATTAGAAGCACATGTTTCTTTTGTTATTAAAAAAAAGGTTGATAGTTATGTGAAAGAAATATTTAAATTCACGTATCCCACATAGGCAGAATAACAGCATACACACAAGTAACATAATGCATGCCTTTGATGAGAAGCACCTTTAGTTTTTTGCCTTACCTCAGGGATCCCCAGCCTCCAGGTGGCAGACCAGTGCCAGTCTGAGACCTGTTAGGAACCAGGCCGCAGGGCAGGAGGTGAGCCTGAATGTAATACACTTGAATCATCCTGAAACCATCACCCGCCCACCCTGGTCCCTGGTACCAAAAATGTTGGGGACCACTGCCTTACATTATATCTGTTTTTTAAAGATTTTATTTATTTACTTTTAGAGAGAGAAGGGAGGGAGAAAGAGAGAGAGAGAGAAACATCAATGTGCAGTTGCTGGGGGCTGTGGCCTGCAACCCAGGCATGTGCCCTGACTGGGAATTGAACCTGCGATGCTTTGGTTCGCAGCCCGTGCTCAATTCACTGAGCTACGCCAGCCAGGTGTTTCTTTTTTTCCCTCTTCTTTTTAAAATTTATTTATTTATTTTTAGAGAGGGAAGGGAGGGAGAAAGAGAGAGAAACATCAGTGTGTGGTTGCTGGGGGTCATGGCCTGCAACCCAGGCATGTGCCCTGACTGGGAATTGAACCTGCAACACTGGTGTTTCTTTTTTTAATGAACTCATTTAGTCCAAATGTATCTGCTTATAATTTTGCTGTACTTCAACTTAAAATATGTTTATTTTTGTGAGTGAGAACAAAATTCTCAGAAGTAGATCTTCCATTTGTGTTCTACAGACTGACTACCTGTGGTACTTAAATTTCAAAGAGTAAGAAGCTATGTGGGGTCACTACCAGGGTGGAAGGCCCAGATGAAAGGCATACTAATGCACCATAGCTCCCTGTTAAGTCTGTTCTAAGAAAGGGAATAGTAAGTGTTCTGAAAACTCTGAAACTGCCCTAAAGGTCATTAATATAAAGCAACCTTTTAAAAAATGTCTTTTTCCTTATTATAAAAGTAATACTTGTTTATTTTAGAAAAATTAGAACCTGTAAGTAAAACAAAAGAAAATTGTTTCAGTTCTGCCACTTAAAAATAATCACTATTAACACAGTGTTGTAAGACTTCTAGATATTTTTCTGTGTGTGTATCAACATGGAAATAGAAATCAAATCATTCTTTTTTGTAACATTCTTTTATTCATTAATACAAACATTGAGTCATCACATTATCCTAAATAATTTTTCATAAATACAAGATGTTTCATTGACTGAATGTTGCCCCGGGTATTTAACCAAAAACCTGTTTATTGGACCTTTATCTTATATTTTTTGCTATTCAAACATTTGGGCTCATATTAGTATGTATTTGTAATTATTTATTAAATGACCTCTTTTATTATATACTCTAAAAGTGATATTTTACTAACATCGTAATTTCTTAGCTTCTTAAGAAACCAGAAAAGGGAGAGGAAGCAGCCACTGAGAAACCAAAAGAACCAGGAGAGGAAGTTGATGCTGGAGATGGACACTGGGACGCCTGTCCTGGCTGTGCTGTCGGGAAGGCCAAGCCCTGGGACAGCCTGCTGGAGGAGCGCAGGGAAAAGTGAGCCCCGCACTTCCCGTTTCTGAGATCGCATTAAGCACCGCAGGAGTGTCACCAATTCATAGACATATATCCATTGTCTGTTTGAGTGCATGTATTTCATAACATTCTTGGAATTCTTGAATGCTTGTCCACATTTTTGTTTCTCTTTGGTCATGCTAGGATCTTGGTAAACCCACTTAGTCTGCAGCCTCAAGTCTGTCTTTGAATAGAGGAAATGCCCTTCTCTCATTCCCTTTGGGTTTCTGGTAGTGCACTTTATGTTTTCAGGATCTTGCCAGTTTCTTTGCCATGTGGTTTTTATCAGTTTGTAATTTTCCTTATGTTTTGAGCTATCCTGCCTATTTGATATTCCAGACCTCCTTCAATTTGTTTATGGAATTACAAACTCGAGAACTTAGTCTTTTAGGTGCTGAAAGTCTTTTGTGTTGAAGAGGTAAAATTCTAAGTGCTCTAATTCCTTTGTTGGAGTTGCCACCCCTCTGGTCCCATGGAATTTGACCCACAGCAGTAGATCCTGGTGTTCTCCCAGCCCTGCTCCTCTCTCGCTGGGTGTCCTTTGGCACATCGGTCTTTGTCTGCTCAGGACATGAGCTCGTGAAAGGATCTTGGGCAGGGCTTCTCTGAGAATAAGACAGACATCGCAGTCTCTGCATATGGTGCAGAGGAAGACCAACAAGACATCTGTCAAAAGGTAGAACCTTCATCCTGCCTCTGATGGTGGCTTTGGTGTTTCCCCACAGCCAGTGGGGCCAAGTTGACCCAGGATTCATGCATTACCTTTGGATATTTGCAGAGCTTCCTGGAGGCTAGAGTTGCTTTGCTCCCAGGAGTGGCTGAAAGTGGATTTGAGTTCAGAGATCAAGGTCATGGGTTTAGGCTGCTGTTTGCCCAGGATCACAATAATCTGGATGACTTATTACTGCTTTCTTTGCACAGAGTTATGTAAGGCTTTCTTTCCCGCTTTTTGGAAGATTCTGGTTTATTGGATTATATGTAAAGTTAATTTATACATGATATCCAGTCTGATTTGTTAGCATTGTGGTTTGTGTCACAGACATTTGTATTATTGCTGACACAACAGTACCTGTTGTCATGTTTCTGGCATCAGTTCACACTTTGCAGATAGACTGTTTTGGCCCCACCAGCCCTGCTGCTTCTGTGTGCAGGGGTCCACAGGGGGTGTGAGAGGGCTTTTGCCTGTGGTTCCTGGAGGGAAAGACTTTTGAGAACCAAATAAGTTAACCAGCCACTTACTTGTTTACTATTTATTTAATAGTTTGACATACATAAAAATACTACTAGATTTCAGTTAATTTTAGTTATGGGTGGAACAGAAACTAAGCTGTATCACCTGTGCCTCATAATTGATGCGCATTTGGGCTACTGGGAAAGTCGCTTGACCGTGTGTGATCTCAGCTACTTTATCTGCAGTGCGGGCGAACATACTCTGGAGAGCCACTGAGAACTTAGAAAAATAACGTATATCTGGTACATTAGCATAGGACTTACTACATATGTGTCACTCAGGTATAGCAGTGAATATTGTTGATACAATTTACTTGTCTTTGCAGTACTATTTTAACTTAATGCCTGTGGTGTGTCTACCATGTGCAGACGTGGCATAAAGTGATGGGCAGACTTACATATTCCCTGCTCTTTGTGGAACTTACAGTCTAGAAGGGAAGACAGGTAATGGACAAGCAGTTTACATAAAGTTACTGATAATTTGTATTAAATCACAGGTCACAAAATGACAGTGAGAAAGAGCAAAAAGAAACAGAGAGAAAATTTCGAGAAAAAGAACTTGAAACACAAAAATACCACTTGGATGACAGCAGAAAGCTTAGAGCTCACTATGAGTTTGACAAGTTTTCAAGAAGAAATGAAGAAGAGATGAAATTGGGGAAAGGATTCACCTCAGACAGAGGGAAGGCAGGGAGCCAGGACCGGGGCGTCCCTGTGGAAGCAGCAGAGAGACCAGGGAGGGAACAGAAGAGTGAGGATGGCCTGGCACCCAGAAAGGCGAGCGTGCGAAACAAGGTTCTTTTATTTATTTGACATAGTCTCTTACTTATGTGTCTGTGCTAAGTATGAACTGTACGTCTGCAGGCTTATGACTGCTTTTCCAAACAGAAATCCTTTTATTTCACCAAAAAAAGGGAAATGTACGTAGGAGTCTTAGGGACAGTACCACACCCTCCGACCGTGAGGCCCACGACCGTGAGAGGCCGAGTTATCTTAGGGATGCACTGCTCTGAGCGTCTGTATTTGCTGGAGCAGTGATTCTTGTCTGCTGAGGGGGCACCAAGTGCTGAATGGCAGATTGAAAACTAGAACCAGCCATCATCTTTTCACCAGGAAAAAAATAAGCTTTTATTTAGCATAAAACTAGCACATTCACACCATTTGCTTGAGAATAAATAATGGTATATTATCAGATTTGCCTCTAAGACAGTAAGGAAAATATTAATGAGACTTCATGGAGCTTTCTTTTCTGTTATTAACAATGTCTGATGATTAATGGACAATCAAATGGCTCATAAACACCCAGAATTTACATCTGCACAATCAACAGGACTGAGATGACTGACAAGCAGGTTTTCTTTTAGAAATTTGAGGTTGATTTGTATTTAGATCACGTTGTCACACAGAAGCACTATAAATAGGGTCATCTCCCTTCTAGGACCAGGCCCCATGAGGCCGTCAATACCCCCGAAGCCCCCACTCTGGGAGGGCAAATGGGACTGAGGCTGCCCAGGCTGCAGGTCACACCCACCTCCAGCCTTTCCTGACCTGGCAGCCACCCTCTGTTCTGTCTCTGACTGTGTCATTTCAGGAACATGATATAAATGGAAACAAGAACATGGAGCCTTTAGAGACTATCTTTCTCACTCAGCGTGAGTCCGGTCAGATCCATCCAAGTTCTGTGTGGTATCAGTGATGTCAGTTTTCTAAATGTTTCTGGTAAAGGCCAGGGAGATCTTCAGAAAAACCTCACCCTTCTAGCTTCACCCTTGACTGATCAAGTCTGTATTGCAAAGGGTTTCTAACGAGGGTTTCTATTGCCTTAACCTTGGGTACACCAAGTACAGGCATGGTCTCACTGGTGGGGGTTATTCCTATGAACACTTGTTTTTAAGTTGCCTTTTTTTTTTAACAGGAATGGGTATTTGCATGTGGGTATTTGCACAGCTTTGGGTGTGGGAACTCATGATAACTCCTTTCAATTAAGTCTCCAGTATAGCGGTGATAAAGTGCTTTGTGCATAATAGCTCCTTTCTTACCAGGCCTGGCAGGTTATGATGTGCTTTTTTTATTTTTATATTTTTTATTCTGTAAATATTTTATTTATTTATATTTTCAGAGAGATAGGAAGGGAGGGAGAAAGAGAGGGGGAGAAACATCAATGTGTGGTTGCCTCTGGCACATCCCCTATTGGGGACCTGGCCTGCAACCTAGGCATGTGCCCTGACTGGGAACCAATCCAGCAACCCTTTGGTTCGCAGGCTGCACTCAATCCACTGGCCACACCAGCCAGGGTGCTTTTAGAATCAGTTTTGAACTCTATACACATCGACGTTAAGCCCTGGTGGAAAGCAAAGCTATGCCTTTTGGCTCAGGAGATGGTGGTCAGTGAAGCCTGTGTCTTGGCCAACACAGGGGTTCAGATCCATGGGATCTGCTGACCCCTTTCCCATCTTCTCATTGGCCAGGCTTACATTAAGAACATTCTGATAAACCCAGGCGGTGACTGTGAGGCCTCCACTAGGAGTGGGTAAGGGTGAAAGAAAGAGCAGTGGGACATGCCCATCCCAGTTGCAGTGTCCTTGCACTCCAGATGGCTGTGGAAAGATTAAGGCTGCTGCTGCTCCGTCATACAGGTAGGCGAGGAAGGAGCACTGAGGCAAGAAGCTTCCTCCCTGGGCTTTAAGCTCCGCTGGGCTGGCATGGGGTTGTTCCCTCCCTCTCCTTGAGCATTGGCTTCCCGAGAGGAGTGGTTCCCACTGGGATACCAGCCCCAGCCTTCAGAATCACACTGTCCTTCCCAGATTCACTGTCCTTCTGCCCGGAAGCTATTTAATTGCATTTCATGTACTTTATTCAGTCTTCGTTTTTGTTCCAACACATCTAACAGTTTAATAAGATGATGGGTTAGTATTTTCTGTAAAGGGGACAGTTCAGAAGTAATCCACTCAGAAATTGCTTGTTATGAATGTTAATAACTGTTCAGGACTCTCAAAGCTGCCTCCTGAGAGGCCATGCCTCATTTTGCTTCAGGCCTCGGGTTCACTGCCTGGCGAATTTGAGGCACTGAGATGTGTGTGTTTGACCTGTCAGCTCTCACACTGGGAGGAAAACGCCACATTGTACTATTTCCTCAGTGTTCTAGGTTTGAGCAATAACATAGTAACTCGTCTCACAGTTTTTTGTTTTTTGTTTTTTGTTTTTTGCCTCTAAATGCTTAGCTTTGGAAATAGTGCTGTGAAAAAGGTTGATTTTTAGCTGCAAGACGTAGTCTTTAGGTAACTAAGATCCTCAGTCCCTAGAAATAAAGATGTTGATCCCTCCTGCATTGTCACCCTTTGAAGAGTGACCCACCCTTTTGTCCTGGCAGGACCGGCCATCCTTGCCGCTGTACCAGCCAGGAGCACGCATGAGAGCACGCGAATGTGGTGGAAGATTCTCTGAGGAGGGCCGTGCCGGGAGGAGAGCTGAGGCAGAAGATTCGGCAGGGGCTGGTTCCAAGAAGAGCAAAGAGGCGGAATGAGTCAGTGTGTGTGCCATGGTGTGACAAGGGTGAGCTCGCACCCAAATCCCATGGCTTAGAAATGTATAAATTGGTCCGGAATAGAACCTGCAAGGTGAATGTACTCTGTACAAAGAAACTAGAAACTGGTGGTACAGAAACCACCTTTTAAAAAGCTGAACAGAGCTTTCTTCGATTTTACCATTTTTAGTGTGAATTACTGTGTATCATTTAGCCAAAACAGAGAAAGTAATCTCCTTTGGAAAGTAGAAGAGTATGACCAAAACAGTATGAATTCTGAAACACTTTGGACGTGTTGTAGGAATAACTTGCACCTTGCATTTTACACATTTGTAAGCAAATAATCTGTCGGGATCTGTACCTCATTATGCTTCTTGTTGGTTTTCGATAAGCCAGTTTCTGGGAAGTGGGCGGCTCACTCCATTATAACCTTGGTAATTCTATCACTTGTGCCCCTTCGGCCCTGCAATTCCAGGAAGTCTGTTGTGTGTAGTCCCTCCGATAGGAACCTTAACGCTGTGTAAAGCTCAACAGCTTTAATTATGGCCCTTTTACAGGTTTGGCCACTGACTTGATGAAAAGAGTTTCTTTTTATGGATGTGCTCATGGTTTATAACCATTATGGTTTAAGAATTGCTAACATAAATGGTGTTATTTTGGGACGTGAACAACAGCCTAGGCACAACATCTAGGATTTTTTTTTTTGCAGTCTGAGGTCATTTTAAAGTGACTTTTTGTAACTTTCTGCAACTATACATTCTAAAGTATCTTTTCCTTTTAGTGAAATTTTAAAATGTCCATGTATTTTTGGTGCTGTGATTTGAACCATTAAAAATTTTACTTGCTATGAGTTTGAAGTCGTTATTGTACTTTTCCTGTATAGAATTTTACACAAAATTTTACTTCTTAAAATGTAGCTTTAATTATCTGAACATTTTGTTAATTATGTCCCTTAATAAATATGAAATGTTTCTCAAAAAAACTAAGAATTAGTCACTTATCATTAAAAACGTCTGTAATTTTTGGACAGTTTTATGATATTGCCATGTTCCTTGCATTTTACTCCTGAGCTCCAAGAATCTGGGGCGGCGGGGTGGGGGGGCGGTGGGGAGAAGGCTTTGCTGTGGATTCCCTAAGGGCTGTATGATCCAGAGGAGCACTTTGCAGGCTTATATGGGCTCTGTCTGTCACATCTATTACACTGCTGTTGTAGTGAGAAAACAGCCTTAGACAATACATGATGAATGGACAGGGCTGTGGTTCCAATAAGACTTTATTTACAAAAGCAGGCAGCAGGCCATATTTAACCTGTGGAGCATAGTTTGCTGGCCCCTGCTGAGAGGATGAATCAAACTGGATCTCCTGGCCAGCAGGTGGCTGTGGTCCTTGCTGTTCATTTGGGCTTTGATCTGGAGATTTCCAGACCTGAAGGCCAGGGCATAGTAAATCTCATTGCTAAGGCCCCCATCTTGGTTCTTTTGGCTTGTTTGTATTTGGTGATCAAAATCCTAGAGGTCTTTGGTGCTCATTTTCAAAATCTGTGGTTTAAAACAATAAACAATACAGTAACTAAACTGAAAATTTCAACAGAGGGGGGTTTCAGTAACAGACTAGATCAAGTAGAAGGATGAATTGGCAAACACCAGGGCATGGCAATAGAACTCTTCCAATCAGAGGAGCAAGAAGGAAAAAAAATGAGTGAAGACAGCTTCAGGACTTAGAGAACAGGATCAAGGGGATCAGTGCATCACTGTGGGGGTCCCAGAAAGAGAAGAGAGAGGGAAAGGGGCAGATTTTCTTTCCTTCTTTTTTAAGATTGATTTATTTATTTTTAGAGAGGGAGAAAGAGAGAGAGAGAGAAACATCAATGTGCGGTTGCTAGGGCCCGAGGCCTACAACCCAGGCATGTGCCCTGGCTGGGAATCGAACCTGCAACACTTTGGTTCACAAGGCAGATTTTCAATTCAAAATAATGGTAGAGGGTGTTTTGGTGTTCGTTACTTACTAATAGAGAAAATAATAAAAAAGGCCCAGAGTTTGTGCCACATCACAATCTAGATTTTGGCTTCCAAGAATTGTCCTATGCTAGAGGTTTGTTGAAAGTTCAGTTGGGATAATTAATTCATTCTAACACTTAAAAACACAGCCCTGGTTGGTGTGGCTCATTGGATTGAGTGCCAGCCCATGAACCAAAGGGTGGTCAGTTCAGTTCCCAGTCGGGGCACAAGCCTGGGTTGCAGGCCAGGTCCCCAGTAGGGGGTGTGCAAGAGGCAACCACACAGTGATGTTTCTCTCCCTTTTTCTCCCTCCCTTTCCCTTTCTCTAAAACTAAGTAAATAAAACCTTTAAAAAAAAAAAAAGTAAAGCAGCCTCACACATTATGGCCTGCAGTCACAAAGAACTTTGTTTCTAAAAGTGGATCTCACAACACAAGGTAAAAAGGATCCAAAGAAGCTCCTTAAAGGAAGGAAAGCTAGAACTCCAATGCTCCAGAAGCTCCTCACATCCCACAACCACTTCTAGACCCAAGGGATTCCCTCTGCAGATAATAAAGTACGAAACACCAAAGGAATGAGTACATATCTGCAAATTGATATTTCATTGACAAATCACCCCTGGACAGCTCGTCTTAACCAACTGCAGGAAGAATAAAATGATGTATTGCTACAAGTCTCTGGGCTCTAACCAGCTAATTGGAAGCTGGGCGATATGAATGACAAATTAAACTACCTTCCATGAAGTGGCTTTAGGAGTAACAACTACAATAATCATAAAGGGCTGCAAGTTTGGTAATGCTGATATAGCAGCAACACTTCCGATAAGAACACTTCCAACATTTTACAATGTAGACTTAAAAAATAAGAAAAACGGCACTCTCTATACCTATACTGAGTTTTACCACATAATATTAAAAGTAACAATCCCAAAAGTTGGTACATAGAACTTGATGCTCAGAGAAAAGATCCCTCGTCTCTGCATCTAAAACTTACAGCTTCAAAAGTACTTTTATTTGCACTTTATTATTAAGGCTGAAGATTATTTTTACTGTTTATTAGACATTTATCTCTTGTAAATATGCTGCCTTCTGCCTGTATTTCTAGTAGGGTGTTCAACTTTTTCATAAAGAACTTTTTGATGTTAGGAGATTAGTGTTCATTTTAGAGTTGAGCCGTGAAGGATGGGAAGGGTTTAAATGATGTTCAATAATGTGTGGTCCCCCTTTCCCCCTCCCAGCAGTGATTAAATCTAATCAAAATGAATAGGTCACTTTGGTACAAAAACAAAACTCTGAATTTTTCCTAAAATGCACCCCAAGTGACTGTATAAAGTCAGCATTTGTCCAGAAAGTAAAGAACACAGGATCTTAAATCGGGCGTGAAAGGGAGATTAACACAAAGAATGGCAGAACAGATGGAGATGTCGGGAACTGAGGTCCAGCGGATGCCTTTCGCTCACACAAATGAACCTTGCGGGGCGCCCTTTGCTCGCACCGGCCAACCAGGCGACGAGGCATTAGCTCCTACGTGGGAACCCGCTCTGATCGGAGTGGCGGAACCGCGGGTAAGGATCAGTTTGTTTTGCCCTAACAGGTTCTACCCCCGCCTTCGGCCAAAGACTCTGAAATTCCAGGCCTCTTCCTTCCGCAGCACCTTCTCGGTTGGGCGTCCCCAGGCCTGGGCTGGATGTCTCGACCCGACAGGCCACACAAGACTGCCGACGGCGCAGCCAGCCGGGACCATTACGACTACGACCCTTCCAGTGCCCCCACCGACTGGCGGGAATTTCCAGAAGCTGGTCCGACACGTCACTTCCGATGTTTGGGCGGGCAGCTCCACGCGCACTTACGCCCACAGCTGGCTGCGACCCGCGATCGGAGCTATGATTGGTCCGCGAGGAAGGGCGCGCTTCGCCAAACTCGCTTCCCGTCAGCCCCAGTCCACACGTCCCACGGCCGCGCGCACGCTCGTGCGTCTGGAGCCCGCGACTGCGCCTCGCCGCCATTCGGAAGGCCCCTGCTCTGCAGGGCCTCGCGGTGCAACTCGAGAGCGCAAGCCCGGCCTCCCACCGACGTTCGCCCACTTGGACGCCACTGCGGTCCAGCGGTGAGAAGCGGGGCGGGCAGGGAGGGGCGCGGTCGGAACCCGCACACCCCGAGGCCTGCATCCCGAGGGAGCCTAGGGCGTACCCCTAGGAGGGGCCTGCACCCCTTCCAATCCCGCTCGGCTGGCTGGCGGAAGGACCCGCTTCCCAGAAGCCGCGGGCCGGGTGGACTGCACTGGACTTGAGGGTGGGGAGGCAGGTAACATTTTACTTAAAACGCTGCTGGGAAGTCAGTTTTGTCTCTAAAAGAATGCATTTATTTCGTTTCAGTCCTAGATGCAGTTTTCTCCGATGCTAGACTGCATGGGTTTTTGTCATTGTTTTAAAACCAGCTACGCAACCCACAGAATGGGAGAAAAATGTCAGAGAAGGGGTCAGTGTGCAGAACATGTAAAGAACTCTCGTTACTCACAACACAAAGCAATCCAACTCAAAATAGGGCAAGGGACTTAAGTAGGCATTTCTCCAAAGAAAATACACAAATGGCCAATGAGCACACCAGAGGATGCTCATTAGCCGTCAAAGTTATGAAAATAAAAACCAGAGTGAAATACAGTATCACACCCACTGGGATGGCTATTCAAAAAAAAAAAGTCACAAGTGTTGACGAGGATGTGGAGAAACTGGAACACTTGTGCGTTACTGGCAGGGACGTAAAATGCTGCAGCCAGGAGCTGTGGATAATGATTTAGTAGTGGTTCCTCAAAAATTTAAACAGAGTTATTATGTGATCCAACAATTTCACAGTTCTCTGGTATACACTCCCAAGAATTGAAAGCAGGGACTCAAATAGATCTTGTACACCAGTGTTGATTTAAATAGCAGCCTTATTTAAAATAGCCAAAAAGGAGACAATCCATTGTCTACCGACAGATGAATGTTACTTATCTTTTTAAAAAATGTATTGATTTTAAAGGGAGAAACATTGATTTTTGTTGTTCCACTTTATACATTGATTGACTCTTGTTTATGTCCTGACCAGGTATTGAATGAACCTTTGTCATATGGGATGACGCTCTAATCAACTGAGCAACCTGGCCATTGGTTTTCATCCTTAATAAGGACTGAAATTCTGTTATATGCTATGGTGTAGATGTGCTAAGTGAATTAAGCCAAATAAACAAGGACAAGGATTGTATAGTTCCATTCAGAAAATGGAAGAGATTACCAGGTGGGGGTGGGGTGAGGATGGAAGTTATTGTTTAGTGGGTACAGAGATTCTGTTTGTGGTGATGAAAAATTCTGGAGATGAATAATGGTGATGGTTTTACAATATTGTGAATGTACGTAATGTCACTAAATTGTGCTTTTAAAATAGTATGGTAAATTTTGTTATCTTTAATACAGTTTGTTTTTATTTTATTTATTTAGTTGAAGTATATTTTATTGATTGTGCTGTTACAGTTGTCCCATTACTTTCTCCCCTTTATCCCCTCCACCCTGCACCCCCTCTCCCTCTAAGCACTTCCCCTCCTTAGTTTGTGTCTATGAATCGTACATACAATTTCTTTGGCTCCTTCATTTCCCATATTGTTCTTAACCTTCTCCTATCAGTTTCGTACCTATCATTTATGCTTTTTATTCCCTGTACCTTTTCCTCCATTCTCCCTGCTCCCCTTCCCCACTGATAACCCTCCAAGTGATCTCCATTTCTGTGATTCTGTTTCTGTTCTAATTGTTTGCTTAGTTCCTGTTTTTGTTTTAGGCTCATTTGTTGATAGTTGTTGAGCTTGTTGTTATTTTACTGTTCATAGTTTGTTTTTTTAATATAATTTATTGATTATGCTATTGCAGTTGTCCCATTTGCCCCCTTTATTCCCCTCCATCCTGAACACCCTCTTCCACCCACATTCCCCCCCTTTAGTTCATGTCCATGGGTCATGCATATAAATTCTTTGGCTTTACCATTTCCCATATTATTCTTAACCTCCCCCTGTTTATTTTCTACCTACCATTTTGCTACTTATTCTCTGTACCTTTTCCCCCACTCCCTCACTAATAGATAACCCTCCATGTGATTTTCCGTTTCTGTGATTCTGTTTCTGTTCTAGTTGTTTGCTTAGTTTGTGTTTGTTTTTGTTTTTGGTGTGGTTGTTAGTAAATGAGTTTGTTGTCATTTTACTGTTCATATTTTTTATCTTTTTCTTAGATAAGTCCCTTCAACATTTCATATAATAAGAACTTGGTGATCATGAATTCCTTTAACTTGACCTTATCTGAGAAGCACTTTATCTGCCCTTCCATCCTAAATGATAGCTTTACTGGATAGAGTAATCTTGGATATAGGTTTTTCATGACCTGGAATACTTCTTTCCAGCCCTTTCTTGCCTATAAGGTCTCTTTTGAGAAATCAGCTGACAGTCTTATGGGAACTCCTTTGTAGGTGACTATCTCCTTTTCTCTTGCTGCTTCTAGGATTCTCTCTTTCATTTTAATCTTGGCTAGTGTAATTATGATGATGTGCTTTGGTGTGTGTTTCCTTGTGTCCAACTTCTTTGGGACTCTCTGAGCTTCCTGTCCTTCCTGGAAGTCTATTTCCTTTGCCAGATTGGGGAAGTTCTCCTTTATTATTTGTTCAAATAAGTTTTCAATTTCTTGCTCTTTGTCTTCTCCTTCTAGCACCCCTATGATTTGGAGGTTGGAACGTTTCAAGATGTCCTGGAGGTTCCTAAGCCTCTCCTCATTTTTTTTGAATTCTTGTTTCTTTATTGTGTTCTGGTTGAATGTTCCTTTCTTTCTTCTGGTCCAAACTGTTGATTTGAGTCCTGATTTCCTTCCCATCACTGTTGGTTCCCTGTACATTTTCCTTTATTTCACTTAGCGTAGCCTTCATTTTTCCATCTAATTTGCGACCATATTCAACCAATTCTGTGAGCATCCTAATTACCATTGTTTTAAACTGTGCATCTGTTAGGTTGGCTATATCTTCATCACTTAGTTGTGTTTTTTGTGGAACTTTGATCTGTTCTTCCATTTGGGCCTTTTTTTTTTTTTTTTTTGGGTCTTGGTACACCTGGTACATAGTAAGGGGCAGGGGCTTAGGTTTTCATCAGGGCAGGGCAACCCACATCGCTGCCTTGTGATGCTGTATGAGGGGGAGGGGTCCAAGAGGGAACAATGGTGCTTGTTCCGCTTTCTGCTTATTTTCAGTGACTCCCCCCACTATCAACAAGCAAATTGGACCCTTCTGGTACTGACTCCTGGTGGGTGGGTTTGTGCACATTCTACGACCCTGTTGGTCTTTCCAACAAACCCTCCTGTGAGACTGGGAGTTTCTCCTGCTGCCACCTTAACCCCTACAGGTGTTTTCAGTCAGAGGCTTTGAGGCTTGATCTCCTCCAGCTGGGATCCTGGGTTTCGCATTCTGTCTTGCTCCCCATTGCTCCTCCCTGTTTATCTGCCCTCAAATGTGGGACCTCCCAGTCCGCAATCTGCCGCCTTGTCGTGAGTCCTCTCTGCCCAGCTGCCCATCTCTGCACGTCCTACTGGTCTGGATGAATATTTCTTCTTTAACTCCTTAGTTGTCGGACTTCCATACAGTTTGATTTTCTGTCAGTTCTGGTTGCTTTTTGTTTTTAAATTTGTTGTTTTCCTTTTTTTTTTTGTTGTGTGAGGAGTCACTGTTTATAACTACGTCTCCATCTTGGCCAGAAGTCAAGATTTATATTCTGTTCATAGTTTTTGATCTTTTTTTCTTAGATAAGTCCCTTTAACATTTCATATAATAAGAGCTTGGTGATGATGAATTAATTCCTTTAACTTGACTTTATCTGAGAAGCACTTTATCTGCCCTTCTATTGTAAATGAAAGCTTTGCTGGATAGAGTCATCTTGGATGTAGGTCCTTGCCTTTCATGACTTGGAATACTTCTTTCCAGGCCCTTCTTGCCTGCAAGGTTTCTTTTGAGAAATCAGCTAATAACCTTATGGGAACTCCTAGACTGTAGGAAACTGTCTCCTTTTCTCTTGCTGCTTTTAAGATTCTCGCCTTATCTTTAATCTTGGGTAATGTAATTATGATGATGTGCCTTGGTGTGTGCTTCCTTGTGTTTAACTTCTTTGGGACTCTCTGAGCTTCCTGGCCTTCCTGGAAGTTTATTTCCTTTGCCAGATTGAGGAGTTTTTCTTCATTATTTTTCAAATAAGTTTTCATTTTCTTGCTCTTCGTCTTCCCCTTCTGGCACCCCCGTGATGTAAAGTTGTCCCAGAGGCTCCTAGGGACAACATTAAAAGCCTGTCCTTATTTTTTTTTTTTTTTGAATTCTTGTTTCTTCATTCCATTCTGGTTGAATGTTTATTTCTTTCTTCTGGACCAAAGTCATTGATCTGAGTCCTGATTTCATTCCCTTCACTGTTGGTTCCCTGTATATTTTTATTTATTTCACTTTGCATAGCCTTCACTTCTTCCTCTATTTTGTGTCCATACTCAATAATTTCTGTGAGCATCCTGATTACCAGTGTTTTGAACTCTGTATCTGATAGGTTAGCTATCTTCTCTTTGCTTAGTTCTTTTTCAGGAGCTTTGATCAGTTCTATCATTGGACCATGTTTCTTTGTGTTGGGGCACCTGTTGTGTTACAAGGGGCGGAGCCTTAGGTATGCGACTTAAGTTGGCGGAGGCCAACTTAAATCTCTGTTGTGACGATGTATGAGGGGGAGGGGTCAGAGGGAGCAACTGCTTCTTGCTTGGCTTTCGCCCAACTTTTAGCCGCTTCCCTCACTACCCACAAGCAAATTGGGCCCTTTTGGTGCTGATTCCTGGGTGGATGGGTTGTGTATGTTCTAAGAACTCTGTGGGACTCTCCAATGAATTCTCCTGTGAGGCTGGGACTTTCTCCCACTGCCGCCTCAACCCCCACAGGTTTTTATAGTCAGGTTTTGAGGCTTTATTTCTAAGCGCTGGTACCCTGGGTTGCATGGTCTGTCTCACTCCCCAGTTGTTCCTCCCGGTTTATCCGCACATGAATGTGGGACCACCCCGTCCACCAGCCACCACCTCACCCACCCCGTCCCCTGCCTTGCTGCATGTCATCTCTGCCCCTACTACTGGTCTGGTTAAATGTTTCTTTAACTCCTTGGTTATCATACTTCCATACAGTTAGATTTTCTGGCAGTTCTGGTTGTTTTTTGTTTTTTTTTAATTGGTGATTGTCCTTTTTTTGGTTGTGTGAGGAAACAAAGTATATCGTTGCTGGAAGTTTTACCACAGTTTTTAAAAATGTGTAGGGAAAGGCAAAATTACAGAGGCAGGAAAAAGATCAGTGGCTGTTAGGAGCACAGGGAATTGTTACAGCATTGGAAGTATTCTGTGTGATTCTGTCATGGTGGGTATATGACACCATATGTTTATGAAGCCCATAGAACTGTGAAACTGGTAAGGTGACTCCTGATGTAAACTGTGGACTTCAGTTATATCAGTATTTGTTTGTTATTTATAACAAATGTACCACACTATTGTCGGATGTTAATATTAGGAGAAGTTGTGTGCAGGAAGGTATGTGAAAACAAAATTTTCTGTTTATTTTTCTTTAAATCTAAAATTGCTCAAAAAAAAGTTTACACAGTTTTAAAAAATCAGCTGTGGTAAAGAGCCATACTAGTGTGTATGTACATAAAACCCAGTTAGCTTTAAATGTGCTCTGCATGTTGAGTTTTAATTTTAAAAGCTATACATCAGAATGTTTTTTAAAATGACCAGGAAGAAATTGAGTAAGAATGGGAAATGGGTGTGATACCATATGGCATATAACTTCATTGAAAAGTACAGGATGATACACTGGCAAAACAGTAATGATTAGCACTTCTGTATTTAAAACATGTAGTCTGTAGAGGTGAAGCTAGGCTAAGAGAAATTTTTATTATCTGGACAGTTTAGATTTACTTTCATCTTTAGGCTTAGGAACTCTGAAAATTAAGGGCGGGGGGATGTGCTAGAATCTTAAAAGCCGAAAGGAATCTCAGTGTCTGTTCTCTACCCAGCAGGTGAATTCTATAATCGGTTCTGCTACACCGAAGTGGGAAAGACAGCATTGTGTTACAACATAATTCCAGAATTGGGAAATCAGGGTCTTGTGCTGCTTCCTCTGACCTAACTCATGTGACCTTCCACAAGTCATCTTTCTCACTCAGCATCAGTTTTCTCAACTGTGAAATGAAGAGACAGGACTCCAGTCCTCTGAGGATTCTTCCAGTCCAGTCCTGATCATTGGCTGCCCATTACAGAGGCTCCTACCTGACAAAGCAACTTACTCTGGTCTGTGATTGAGTAGTTCATAAAACTTTGTGTTGAGCTCACATCTGTTTTGCTGCTGGCTTCCACTTGTTGCTTCTAGGACAGCTTACATATTATCCACAATTCTTCCCCTTTTGAAGATAAGTGCTTGTGTTCACAAGTGACATGTTTTCAAAGACTGCGGGTGGTCCTGGTTGCTTTTTTTATGCAAGTTGCTGGTGTTAGGGAACTGCCCAGAGCTGGAGACAGTGATACTCTGCCAAATGCAGAATATGAAATGCAGTTCTCTATAGTGCTATATTCTGCAGTTCATAGTTGGATTCTGAATGTCTGATGAATTTCATCTTGTTGATTTTGGCCCATTGTATTGGCTTTTCAAGATCTTATTAATTTCACTGTATTTGGTTGGTCATGATATACTAGAAAATGCCCAGGTGGATAGCTGAACTTTATTCTGGTCTTCTGTCACATACTGATTATTTACATGATCTTGAGCAAGTTAATGTTTAGGTCTGAGCTTCCTCAACTATAAATTGAAGTTTTAAAGTAGGTGGTCCCTGAGGTCTTCTTTTATCCTAAAATCCAGTGGCTCTAAGACTAGAAGGTAGCTCAGGTCTTTTCTAGTTTTAAAATCCTGTGAATCTAAGATCAGATCGCTCATCTTCCTGAGAGAAGGTTTGAGATTGAATAGGTACTCTCTGAGCAGACACCATGTGCCAGGGATGTGCAAGGGTTATAGAGGTGAGTGGGTAGTCCCTGCCCTCTGAGAACCCATGGTCCGGTGTGGAATCATGCGGTGGTTCCAGAGGGTGACAGCCACTACAGTAGAGATGTACATACAGCAAGGGGTCCAAGGAAGACTGGAGAGGGCAGGGAATTGGCCAGTATTTAAGAAGCAATCCCACCTAAAGTGTGGAGGAACGTGCCTGATGACTGGGTGGCAAGATGTAGAGTGTAAAGGAGAGGAAATGCCTTGTACAAAGGTCTGGAAGCTTGAATTGTCAGGAAATTCCAGTGGGTCAGTACTTTGAGAATGCAATGTAGTCGGGGCAGATTATGAAGAGCTTTATAAGCCGTGTTCAAATTTTGTGCCATAGGGGTTGGAATTACCTTGACAAATTGTGAGCAGTCAAGTCACAGTGGGTTTTTATGTTTGGAAAATGATGGTAGCGATATGATGAGTGGATTGGAGGGAAGTGAGACTAGTGGCAGGGAGGTCGGATATCAGAATTAAAGCAGTGGCATAGGGAATAGAGGAAAGGGCTGGTAAACGTGCTGGAACTTGATTAGACAAGTATTGTGAGCTGTCACCTAGCTTGTTCCCAGCCAGTTTATCCCATTCTGTTCAAGTCAACAACTCACCAAGACCCTTGTGTCTTCTCTTTGAAATTAGTGCATGACAAAGCAGTCACTGAAAGGAAGTCACCACCGTCCTTCCTTTCTCTAGAGGCCTCCTCTTTGCCTCTTGATCCTGTCGATTATGTTGTTCTTCCCCACTGCCTGTTAGTTTGCTGTCCAGCTGTCCAGTGCGCATAATGGACAGAATGCCAGCTGCAGCTGAAGTCACGGAGCAGTCTCCTGAGTGCTTGTCACGTCAGCTGAAGGTAGATGGTGGTTTGAGAAAGGTTTGGTTCTGTACGTGGCGTTAGTTCCATAATGGATTACTAAAGTGGAGTTAGACAGGGATGGTGCCAGGGGTAGATAGCATCTACTGTATTTGGTGTCATTCCATTGAAGTAAGTGTCCAGGCTGGTTGGATCAGACGCCTCTCACTGCGGGGGGTGGGGCAGAATAGTGAGAGAAATAGGCGGAATTCTATTTTAGGGGGTACAAGAAATCACAGAGATAGGATTTTGATTGCCTTTTGTTATTATTATTATTTTTTTAGGTTCATCTTTGTCCTTCTTCATGTACTCCAGGCTATTTTCTGTGGTTTAGTCAAAAAGCCATGTGAACTTGCTGCCCTTTGAAGACTACTTTAAGATTTCTAGTGAGACAGCTGGTAAGTCTACTAGGGAAAAGCATATTGGTCTTTATAAAGTGTTAACTACCAGCATTTCTTTGCATTTTTAAAAAATTCTATTTTATTTTATTTTGCTTTTTAATGTTTAGGAGAACATTTTATGATGAAAATATTTTTGAAAAGCACATGGAGTTCTTAAGGAAAAACTATAAAATATACCCAGCCATAATATAATATGGTATATGAACATGTGCTGGTGGTATTCATAGCTATGATAGAATTTGGGATTTGAGAGGTATATTCTGTAATATTCTTTTTAATATTTTTTAATTAAGAGGTTACTGGAGTATGATAATGAGGCTTAATAGTAGGTAGGTGTGGGTAATAGAAACTTTGAGACTGGCCAGAAGAGTGGTCAGAAGAGGAAAGAGGGAGGGCCATTTGGGAGAGATGGGGAATGGTTTGAAGTCTAAGGAGCCATCAGGGTTTAAGACAGACTGAAAGGGAACGGATGGTGTATTTACAGAGTGGCGCTCCACGTGAAGGGTGGGAGAGCTGGTGAATGGACAGATTTGGTGGGCAGCAGTTGAGGACAAAAGTAGTCTGTCCACTCCAAGAAGCTGCGGTGGCAGGGGGCTCCTTAAGGTGAGAGCAGTAGGAATTAGGCTAAGTGGTATTCATTAAAAAGAGGGACTGAATCCCTGGCTGGGTGGCTCAGTTGGCTGGAGCGTTGTTCCGTATACCCGAATGTTGCAGGTTCCATCCTGGGCAGGACACGTACCTATGTTGAGGGTTCAGTCTGCAGTCAGAGCTGGGAGGCAAACGATGGAAGTCTCTCATATCAGTGTCTGTCTGTCTCTCCCTCTCTTTCTCTGTTTCTCTCAAGTCAATAAATATGTACTTGGGTGAGGATTAAGAATAAAATTAAGGACTATATTACAGGAGCAGCTGTAAAATGGATGGTTAGTGTAAAACTTCAAAAGAGGTGAGAAAGGGAGAAATCTAGTCAATGGAAAGTATTGGGGTAGTCAAAAACACCATATGATTTTTTTCATAAAAGACATTTTTTTATTTTCACCAATAACTTTATTGATTTGGATATTTTGAGTATGTTGTCTATCTCCTGCGTGGTGTAACATTGATTGTTCTCAGTTAATGTCTCGATTTGATTGCTATCAACTTCAACTGGTCTACCTGACTGTGGAGCATTGTCCAGTAGGAAACCTTTGGCACAAAACCTCACAAACCACTTTTCACACGTCTGATCAGTCACAGCGCCTTCTCCATATGCTGCACAAATCTTTTTTTGTGTTTCTTACCTTTCTTGAAATAATAAAGCATAATATGCTGAAAATGTTGCTTATTTTCTTCCATCTTCAGTACTAAAATGGCTATACAAAAGTCCACCAATTTTGATGGTTTTTAAAAATGCATGCTGATATGACAGCTGTCACAATAAAATCTAACAAAATTATTTCAGATGAAGTTAAAGACATCTAAGTGCTACTAGAGTCATCCTGTGGAAAACAAACTTTTTGGCCACCCCAATAGAAATAAGAAGAGGTGGTAGAGCTTCGCCTACTGAAAGGGACCACAAGACTGGGGTAACAGTCGGGAAGAGTGTGGCGAAAAGGGGGACCAGTTCTCTACTGTGGGACTGTATTAGAGACACCTGGTATTGAGATGTGGTTTTGTTTTATTCTGATTTTTCTTTGGTAAGTTTGCCAGAAGCATTTTTAAAAATCTTCCTGACTATAAAACAGTATATTCTGACATGTCTGTGAGGATAGAAGAAAAAAATGCTTTACCCTTAAAGTTTATAATCTAATCCCTATATTACATACTTACTGGGCTTTTTGATGGCCTCTATTATATGCGCTACTGTTGGTAAAAGTTGGGCAGCATGTAGGAAAGGAAGAAAGTTGTTTTGTTAATGGGACTACACATTATGCAGAGAGGTGTGGCTGAGTAAGTGCTGTAGTGAAATGAGAAAACAAAAGTTCTTCATACTGTGTATGAATTATTGCTTGAGAAGTTGGAAAAAGTTTCTGTTAAGTTTGTTTAAGCTTAAAAAACCTGGACAAGAAATCATGAAAGTAATGCCTTTCTTTGTCACAAGCAGGACTGGAGCACAATACTATAATAATAGCTAACACTGAGTGCTTGCTCTATGTAGCAGACATTATTCTAAACATGCTATAAAATATTACTGTACATCCATTTTACAGTCAAGGAAACTGAAGCATAGAAGTGTTTAGTCACTTGATAAAAACCACATAGTGGAATCAGGACTCAAACCTAGCAAGCCTGAGCTCTTAACCTCTGTGTCATAATGTACGTAGCGTATGACATGGTGCACATTAGACCCAGTATCTATTATCTAAAGGGATAATAGAAGTATCCCTTTACTGTCCATTACTGCCGCTTATGGCCAGACGGGGTTATTGAGATAACCTAGTCTTTTTACATGTTTTCTTTATTTTGTTTTTAAGTTAAAAATTCTTTTTAGAAATTTTTTTCTGAACTAAGTGATTTCATATATATATGTGTGTGTGTGTGTGTGTGTGTGTGTGTGTGTGTGTGTGTGTGTGTATTTGTGTGTGTGTATATTTGTAGTCCTTGTGGCCCTGAAAACAATTTTCTAACAGATAGGATAATTGCTAATACTTTCTGAAGCACTAGTTTGTTTCTTCAATTCACACCTTTCTAACTTTAGACCCCTCTCAAAAATGCAAATGATATACCACTGATATCGGTGATTGAAAACAATATTGTCAGTAATAACATTTTAAAAAGGTGAAAGATTTTTATATGATCTGAAGAGAACCCAGGGTATAATAACATTTTAAAAACAAGTTATTAAAATTAGAAGTAATAGAGTTTTAAATTAATGTTTTTTAAGTTAATAAAGGGAGATCCTGTGATTATCAGTGTTTCTAATCTGTACTGTCTTTTTGAGCAGCAGTAACATAGAAAAAGTATATTTTGACCTTGTTTTACCATTAGCACAAAGCTCACTGTATACTCTCACTAGTAGCTGGTATTTTTGGTAAATGATGGGGCATAACTGAATGAGAAGAGATTTTGCAAGCCACTTAGTGAATAAACAAACTGTATGTGTACGTTACAGAGTCTGTTTTATCGATTGTTGGAGTCCTATGCTGAGAAGAGCATACAGGTGGAACTGCCTGGAGAACACAGGAGAGTCCAGAATAGAATTATATACATGAAATTTAGTAAATACTAAGAGGAAAATTAAACACAGTAAGGGAAAGGGTTGTGTAATCAATGTTGCAGATAAATGGACTGTTCATTTGGGGTGAAAAAATAGGCTGGGTTCCTAGTCCTTGTCCTTATTAAAGATACAAATGTAAAAAAGAACTAAATTATCATCCTTACGAGTGTTGCTCAGTTGTTAGGGCATTGTCCCACAAAGCAAAATGTTGCCAGTAAATTATCACCATGACTGGGGTGGCTTATTTAGTCGGGTGTAGTCCTGCAAAGCAAAAGGTCGCCGGTTTGATTCTTGGTCAGGGCACATGTCTGGGTTGTGGGTTCAGTCCTTGGTTGGGGTAGAGGCACCCGATCAATGCTTCTCTTTTACATCTGTGTTTCTCTCCCTCCCTTCCCCCCTCTAAAAATTAATAAAAATTAAAATTAAAGTATCAAAATCATAGGGAAATATTGATTAAAAATAATGAAGTGGGAAAGCATAATTTAAAAGGCAGTCATAAGGAAAACACTTAAGTTTTTAATTTTTATGTAAACCAATTGTATGTAGTTAAAAATAGTCATAATAAAGTCAAGACAAATTGATAAACTGAAATATTTTCATTATATAAGAGTTTATTTCTTTTATGTATAAGGATGATTTTCAGATAATTAAGAAAATAGACAAAGCATATCCTAGACAAAGAAATACAAATGGCTAATAAGCAAAGAAAAATGTTCAATATTTCTCATTAAAGAAAACCACATTAAAACAACAGTGAGATAGTAGTTTTCATTTAAGAGATAGCAAAGATTAGAAATTTAATGATACTCCATGTTGGTGAGGAATTTGGGGAATTGTTCCTCACGTAATAGTCCTGTAACTTCTTGAGTTTTTGGTAAAATGTATCAATTTTAATTGCAAATAGCCTTTGAACCAGGTAATTCATTTCTAGGAATTCTCCCTTCAGAAATACCCTCACATTAAAAGATACGCGACAAAAATTCTGCGTTTACTCTGTATGTAAAAATGTTTTAGAAAATGCCCTCTGACTCAGCAGGGCTCCTGAAGCCAGTACTTGCCCTTTCCATGGAAACTCAGAAAATGGGCGTGGTCTTATCTCCCGAATCACCAAACCTGCTCTTCTGACTTCGCTGGAGCCTCACAAGCCTGGTCCTGTTTTTTTCTCTTGAGACAGAGAGACCCCTTCTCTTCCTTAAGTGAAAGCAGATAGTATGTTTAATGCCCCATTTGTGTAGAATGTGTTTTTGTATTTGCGTATACACAGAGCATTTCCTCAGTGATGTGAGTACAGGGGCTGCCTCTGGGGAGTGATACTGTGTATTTTGTACAGTGTGAATGGTTTTAACCGAGCTTCTGTTACTTTTACCACCTAAGAAGACTCATTTAAAATTTTTAAAAGTTATATTTTCTGGCAAGCAAGTTCCTGCCTCAAGGTTGTCCTCTATCTAAATTGCCCTTTGCTTGGCAAGGGCAACATCTCTGTTCAAGTAATTACTTTAAGCTTAGGATGGTGTGTCATTCAAAATTTCTGCTGGAGTGTCTCCTTGACAGTGTTCTCTGCATTGCCTTCCACACTCTTACCTCCCTGTCAGTGTTAAGCACCATACAGCAAGACACCCCTTCTGCCTTGGGTGCTTGGAAAAGCATGGGACACAAAATAATTTATTAAATAAATTAATAAAATGCTTTACATTAGGATGCTAAAATACAAGATATGTTGGGTTTTATTAAAAACATCTTTTCATAGTTAGACTTAATTTAACAAGTGTTTTCTGAAATGGATTTAAAGTTTCTTGCTCAGCCTTAAGTAGCCTAACTTGAATTTTGATGTTTACTTATTAGTTTTGTGCACTGTCAGCTTGTTGATATTCGGAGTTTTAAAATCAAGATGTAAAGCTCATGCAGTAGATAATTCTGGGGTCAGACATGGGTCACTGATAGTTTCATAACCTGGTTAAGTCACTTCTCCGAACCTCGGTTGTTTTTTATCTGTAAATGAAAGTGAAAAAATAATACTTGAGTCATATTGTTAGGAGGGTTACATGAGATGATGTATATGTAACTAGCAGAGTTCCTGGGACTTAGTTAAAAATTAGTTCCATTTCTTCTTCAGTGTTTTAATAGAGATATTATTGAATAATATGCATATGCCATCCTAGGCTTAAAATTAAGCAGTTTTACAATAAGGTAGACTAGCATTTCATTAAAGATTATGTTCCCTGATGTACAAAGGACACATGGACAAAGCCAAAGTGGGGCGGATCAAGGGTGGGAGGTGGGGGATGGCAGGGGTGGGGGGGACATGGAGACAATTTTTTATTGTTGTATTTGAACAACAATAAAAAAAGGAAAAACAATTAAAAAAGATGATGTTCCCTGAAAATAATTTATTTCTATTTCATTACAGCCCTGTTGAAACTTTTTAAAGAATATAATTGTGTGTGTTACAACAGAAAGAAAAATGGAAGTTTTTCAGGAGCTTCGTAAACCACCAGTACGTTTGGAGTGTGACCACTGCAGCTTCAGAGGCACGGATTATGAAAACGTGCAGATCCACATGGGCACCATCCACCCAGAATTTTGTGATGAAATGGATGCTGGCGGGTTAGGTAAAATGATATTTTACCAGAAAAGTGCAAAGCTGTTTCATTGCCATAAATGCTTCTTCACCAGCAAGATGTACTCTAATGTATACTATCATATCACATCCAAGCATGCAGCCCCAGAGAAATGGAATGAGAAACCAAAAAATCAGTCAAACAAAGAAACAGACTCTGTGAAAAGCCCTCCTCTTCCTGAACACCAGAAAATGCCCTCTAGTTCAGCAGAACTCCAGAAACCCGCACCTGCCCTTTCCATTGAAACACAGACACTTGGTCCAGTGTTGTCTCCAGAGTCACCCAAACCTACTCTTCCTTCCCTGGAGCCTCAGAAGCCCGGCCCTGTTGTTTCTCCTGAGCCACAGACACCTTCTCTTCCTTCTCCTGAGCCACTAAAAACTACCCCTGTTTCTTCTCCTGAACTTCCAAAACCAATTCCTGTTGTTTCTGAATCTCAGAAACCAACCCCAGTTCCTTCTCCAGAACCACAGAAGCTTGCTCCCGGGTCTCCTGAGCCAGTAAAGACTGCTCTTATTAATCCCAAACCTCAGAAACACTCCCATTTTCCAGAAACTTCGGGGCCGCCTTCAGCCCCCTCTCCAGAGTCACCAGTTCTAGCTGCTTCCCCTGAACCTTGGGGGCCATCCCCAACTGCGTCTCCAGAGTCTCGGAAGCCAGCCCGGACAGTCTCCCCGGAGCCAAGGAAGCCATCCCCGTCAGAGTCTCCTGAACCTTGGAAGCCATTCCCTGCTGTCTCTCCAGAACCTAGGAGACCAGCACCAGCTGTGTCACCAGGTTCTTGGAAGCCAGGGCCACCTGGGTCCCCCAGGTCTTGGAAATCTAGTCCTTCAGCATCAGGACCCTGGAAGCCAGCTAAACCTGCTCCATCTGTGTCTCCTGGACCTTGGAAACCAATTCCTTCCATATCACCTGGACCTTGGAAACCAGCTTCATCTGTGTCCCCTGCATCCTGGAAGTCATCGGTCTCACCTGGATCCTGGAAAACTCCTCCTGCATCTCCTGAGTCATGGAAGTCAGGTCCACCGGAACTTCGAAAGACAACTCCTACCTTGTCACCTGAACATTGGAAGGCAGTCCCCCCAGTGTCTCCTGAGCTCCGTAAAGCAGGACCTCCCTTGTCTCCTGAGCTTCGCAAATCAGGTCCACCATTGTCCCCAGACATTTGTAGTCCAGCGGGATCTCCAGAACTCAGAAAACCCTCAGGGTCTCCAGAGCTTTGGAAGCTTTCTCCTGATCAGCGAAAGACTCCTCCTGCTTCACTAGATTTTCCTGAGTTCCAGAAAAGTTCCCGTGGTGGTTCCCCTGATCTCTGGAAATCTTCCTTCTTTATTGAACCTCAGAAACCTGTCTTCCCTGAGACCCGGAAACCTTCTGGGCCACCTGAGTCCCCTAAAGCAACCTCTGATATATGGAAGCCTGTTCTCTCTATCGATACCGAGCCTAGAAAGCCTGCCCTATTTTCTGAGCCTATCAAATCGGCCCCTCCTGCTTCTCCCGAACCACGAAAACGTGCTCTTTTCCCAGAGCCACGGAAACATTCCCCTTTCCCTGAACTTGCCAAATCTGCTATGTTCTCAGACTCTCAAAAGGCAATTGAACTAGGTGATGAACTACAGACAGATGCCATAGATGATCAAAAGTGTGATATTTTAGTTCAGGAAGAACTCCTAGCTACACCTAAGAAACTCTTAGAAGACACTTTATTTCCTGCCTCAAAGAAGCTCAAGAAAGACAGCCAAGAGAACTCTGATGCTGAGCTTAGTAGTAGTGAGTACATAAAAACAGATTTGGAAGCCACGGATAGTAAGGGCCAAGAATCAAGCAGTGATCAAGAGCAGGTTGATGTGGAATCTATTGATTTCAGTAAAGAGAACAAAATGGACCTGACTAGTCCAGAGCAGTCCAAAAATGTACTCCAGTTTACTGAAGAAAAAGAGGCTTTTATCTCAGAAGAAGAGATTGCAAAATATATGAAGCGTGGGAAAGGAAAGTATTACTGCAAAATTTGTTGCTGCCGTGCTATGAAGAAAGGTGCTGTTTTGCATCATTTGGTCAATAAGCATAATGTCCATAGCCCTTACAAATGCACAATTTGTGGGAAGGCTTTTCTCTTGGAATCTCTCCTTAAAAATCATGTAGCAGCCCATGGGCAAAGTCTACTGAAATGTCCACGTTGTAATTTTGAATCAAATTTCCCAAGAGGCTTTAAGAAACATTTAACTCATTGTCAGAGCCGACATAATGAGGAGGCAAACAAAAAGCTAATGGAAGCTCTTGAGCCGCCACTGGAGGAGCAACAGATGTGATTTCTAAAAACTGTGGATATATGCTCTACAAAGGTGTTTGTTGAAACTTTTTGTTGGAAGTATAGTTAAGTAGCTTAGTTGGATCAGTAGATGTTGACGTGTATGGTGTACTGTTTTTAATTGTCTCAGTAGTGTTACACAGAATAGGCATTTGGTTATTTTTTCATGGTCTCTGTTTATGTTGCTATCTTATAAGGCAGTTCAGACTGTATATTCCAGATGTATAAAGTATCTAGTTTCTTTTAAGTACCTGTGGATAATATGAAATGTAGGCATTCATTTAACAAGCAAGAGCAAGTTGTACTCACTTTAAAATATCTAGTTAAAGTGTCTTTTTGTGAAACTGCTTTCAGACAATGGAAATTGGTTGGAATGCTTAAGAATTAGGCATGAAAATTTTGAGAAATATTCTTTTTTTAAAAGTATTTTCAGATCATAAAAGTTATTTTGAAGTTTCTATTTGATCATTTTTATAAATCTTGAACAGACATTTTCTAGATGTTTATTAACTTTTATGTCATGGAAAATTGGAGTCTCAGGGTTGCTGATTTTCTGCTAAAAGGGGGGAAATTGAGCAAGTATAAAAAGTAGTTTGCAGCCTTCTCCTATAGGAAACTGAGAAAGGTGAGTATGTTTTTGGGTTTAGTTCTTAGTTGTTTGCTTTGGAGTCTTCCATTCTGTATTTTATCCCAAGGTCTGGCCCTTCGCTTTCCTGTGAGCTCACACCAATAGACGGTCCTCAACTGCCAAGCGTTAGAGATGTGCCTCCTGCTCCTGGGCCTTGTGCGCCACCCGTCGGGACTTCAGATTAGGGTAATGGGGAGGAACTGAAAGTCTTCCAGATTGACCATAGGAAATTTTATACGCAAACATTTCTTTTGGGGAATGTGTCCATTTTTTTAAGTTGTTACTGTATATACCTTGAGCCCATTCATGGATTATTTTATTCTAAAATATTTTGTCAAATGTGTATCAAATGAAAAACAAAAGGCTTTCATGTCACCAACATTTTCATGTGTATCTTTTATTTTTTATTGTATGAGATCCACTTTCTGTTATTTTTTCCTATTTCCCCTTGTTTTCAACATACCAGTTTTTTCATATCTGGCACAATCTTTTCTCAAAGTTCTGTGGTCAGGTAAGTTAGGGAATTGCTCTCCTAGGTGCTTATTCTGAAAAATCTCATCTGTGCACATTACCTTATTAAAGGTTGCTTAATTCCAGTGGTAACAACCCTGGCTGCTCCATGTACACAATGTGAAACATTAGTGCTACCAGGATCCTTCTACGTAGCCAGGATTGAGATACACTGGCTTTAATTAAGCTATTCCTGGACATTTTTGAACAAGAGTGCTTTTTTGTTTTATGGCATCCAAATTAATATTCCAATTGGGAAGACTGTTTAGATAATACCAGGAAGGTCTTAAAGCTTCAGATCTATCATCTTGGTGAGCACAGTCAGGCAGGGAAAGCACCAAGTGGTTGGCAATTTACACTGGACACCTCAAGAACAAGTCCCAGTTCCAGAGTTTCCTTCTAGGCCTGATGCCAACAAGTAGGACAGGTAAGAGATCTTGCGTGGCATCCCTTCATGGAGGCTCTAGAAGAGAATCCATTCTCTTTTTCAGCTTCTGGAAGCCACCTGCCCTGTCTTGGCTTATGGCTCCCTCCCTCCATCTTTGAGCTAGCACATAGCTTCTCTTTGAGCCTCCTTCTGTGGTCACATCTCTTTCACTGACTTTGTTTCCCTCTTTTAGGTAGGATCCTTGTGATTACATTGGGCCACCCAGATAATCTAGGATGATCTCCCTGTTTTAAAGTCAGCTAATTAATGACCTTAAATCTTTGCTATAAACTACTGTTTTCACAGGGCCTGGCAGTTGGGGCTTGGACACCTTTGGGAGCCGTTCTACCTACCACACCTGGGTTTGCAAATGGGGTTTGATTGCTTTGCCTAGTCAACCCTTTCTTAACCAATATAACTGTTGCTAGGGTCTCACTGTTCTAGACCCTCATTGTGGCGCACAGATCGGTGCGGTAGTGACTGCTCGTAGTCGAGCCTCTAGCCCATGCTTGACACACCGGAAACTAGGGTTGCTACAACACTGATTTTATGTTGCGTTCTCAATACAAAATGACCCCTAAAGGTCCATTTACTTAAGGCTTTGGCAAATGAAATACCTTAAGTAACCTTCCCATCCCACCTTACTCATTGCCTTTTCTTTTCTGAACTGTAATGCTTGCTTACACTTTTTCCTCTGAAAGTCCTGCCCTCACCAAGCCTGGTACAGTTCTCTCCACATGCCAAGGTTACTCTTCCTAAACTGCTTTTCATTTTATGAGCTGGAAAAAAAAGGACCAAATTAGGCCTCATTTACTTTTGAGTCAGTGCAAAAATGGTACTTTTTCCTTATAAATTCCCCAGACTGGATGCTATGTTTAATCCTAAAACTGAAAATACTGTTGGAATAAAATGTTTCAACACTTTGATTCTGATCAGTTGGTGGCTAGCGTAAGTTGGTTTGAGCATAATGTTGATTCTAACACCAGCCAGTCTCTTGTAAATGCCACAGACCTCAAGGAGGCTTAGGTGAAATATATGGGAAGCTTACTAAATTCTTAGTTGGTTTGTTTAAATGCAAGAATTACAGGTCAAGTGAACAAAAATCTAGCTTGAATCATAAAGAGTCATGGCTCCTCAGCTCCCAGTCTTGAAGTTTGCATACCCAGAGCTCCTTGAAGGAAAGGGCAGCCAGGTCCCCCTGGGCAAGGGCCTGGGTACACTGCCAAAAAAAAAAAAAAGTCTGTACTGTTAACCCTTTCCCAGCCTTCCACAAAGGGAACCACAGCCGTTTACCTGAATGACTGCTTTGGGGAAAAGGAAATAATCACACATTAGGAATGCCTGGCTTCTGGCTCTGAACTGACAGTGGCTACAGAGACCTCCAAGTATCCTGTGGCCCTCCAATCAGTAGGTTACGGAGGTCAGGTAATAGTTTCAGCTTAGGTCCCTGTCGCAGTGGGTACCTTGGGCCCCCCAACCATTCAGTGGTTATTCCCCCAGTTATGAGAGGAATAATTAGAGTAGACGTACTCAGTAACTGATGACATCCCCACATTGGTTCCCTGGCCTGTGGGGTGAGGGCCATTGTGGGAAAGGCTGCTTGGAAGCCCCACTAGAATTGCCTCTATGTTGGAAGATAGTAAATTGAAACCAATTGGGTGGTGAGAGTTCTAGGAAGATGGAGGAGACAGGAATCTGTCCCCCAACCTAGGCAGCAGTTTCATTGGCAGAATCAGATGTAACTGTTTTGGGACTCGAGTCTGTCAAAGGCTTGCAACTTCAGGAGAAGGCTTGGACTGGAAATTGTTAATTTTTCAGCTCCACGCAGTGGCAGCTGCCCATCCCCCACCCCTAGCCATGTAAGCATCTTGCATACAACTTGTGGCAGCCAGGGTGGCTAAAAAGGACCCTGTCTTACAAATATTGGGGATCTGTGCTGGGATTGCTGGTTGCTGCTTTTGGTCACAGAGATGCAAAGAGGCAGCCATTGTTACTGCCCCTTCCCCTGTTGTTGCAAACCTCCCCCCCAGCTTAAGTGACTCAGGACAGTTAATGATCAATGGGAATTTTCAAGGCTAAGGAACAAAATTGAAAAATGATTGAAAATAAGGGAGCTGAACCTAAGGAAACTGGGACATCATAAAGCAGACCACAATATGCATCGTAGGAGTCCCAGAGAGGTGTGGGGGTCGGGGGAGGGCAGAGAGAATATTTGAAGAAACAATCACTGAAAACATTCCAGATTTGCTCCATGTTTGGTATGGTATAAGGTGTGTAGAAAACAAACTGCACAATGCCTCATCTAGTGGTGAGGCAGAGGCTTTCTAACTAAGCAAAACTGGATGACCAACCATGGCCCGAGGACCATTCGGGAGTCCACTGTACAGGAGGGAGCCGGGCCTTTGCTGAAGAGAGTGGGGCTCTTTCTCTTCGCCAGGCAGAACCGGGTCTGCGGAATGATCTGAAGTCCACACAGCTGGCCATGCTGAGGCAGGTGGGAAATGACAGGGTCTGCTGGCTCCCTGGTGTGTTAACTCAGTAAATATTAGTTGAATACATGAGTGTATGAGTTTTCCACACACGTGCCAGTGAACATGACACCAGGAACTTGACACCAGCCAGGTGAATTACTGCACAACCAATGTATTGTGACAATGTAAAGTCAAACCTCTCCTCAGCAGTTGTGTTTGTTTCTGTGAAAGGGGTGGCAGAGGGCACTTTGCTTCAAGCAGGCTGCCCCAGGAGTGAAGGCCACCCGCTCTCACTGGTGAAAAAAAGCAGGAGCAGAGAGCACAGACACCAGTCAGGCCCTGGATACTGTTTGTGGCTGCCAGACACTGGAGCTGCGGGAGGAGCCCCGACTTCTCTCCTGCCCAACATTCTGTATGAGGTCAGAAGCCAGGCTCCCTGTCCGAGCAAGGGCTTCCACCACCTGGCCATCACCAAAACCGAGGTAGGGCACTGACAGAGCTAAGGACATGCTTTCTTGGATGTTATGGCTTTAATGCTTGACAAGCACACAATTCCTCTTGTGCTGGAAATAACAAGCACAGTGGTTGGGAGGTTGGGCTGTGAAGTCAGACAAAACTACGTGTGAACCTGCCTCCTTTGCTTAGTGTGTGTGGGGTGGTGGTGAAGGTGAACTTGGGCAAGCTATTATCCTCCTATGCAAAATGGGGTAGGCTTCTAGGACCTACCTAGGTGTGGTTGTTACAGCCTAAGACAGCCTAAAGCACTCAACACAGTAGAGTGCCTGATACCTGGTCACACTTAATAAATGCTAGATACCATCACTGGTAGGGAAAATAAGTTCATATTGAAAGTTCAGGTTTTTAATGGCTACTTCTTAGCAATGAGATAGGGTCTTTGGGAATTTCAGACTGTCAAACATCTGAGTTATGAATAGCCCACTTGTAACCATCCAGGAAATATCCATGGTAGACTCCCACCCTGTGGTTGGGACTCTAGGGGGAAGAAGTCCTATTTGATTTCCCATGCACCTTTTCCATCATCACCACAGAGGAGAGGCCTCAGGTCCTGGTTACAAGAGCGTAGGCACCACTTCCTCACCCAGACTTGCACAATGTTACCTATCAGTTTTCAAACCTGGCTACACATTAGAATCACCTAGAAAGTTTAAACACATTCCTGGGCCCCACCCCAGACCAGTGAAATCTTTCTGGGCGCCAGGCACAGGCCTAGGAATTTTCTAGAGTCTCACGTGCTTCCAAATAGCCGAGGTTGAGAACCATGGTTATTAGACCATATTGTGGTAAGAGAAACCCCCTATGTGGTAAGGAGACCTGCCTTCAAGTAAGGGGGCACCTCACCTCTTTTCACCTCAGTTTTGTCTTTGCAAAGA